CTCAAAGAGAAACCGATTTTTACTTCTTCTTTTTCAAATGTGATCGGTCAGTCTGAGTTGCAGGCTAGACGTGAAAATAGTCTTCTACCCCTGATTCCTGCATTAGCCGCAGGCGGAAAATAGATGAGGAAACGCTCTGAGCAGAAGAAGCCACACAGATCTACATCACACTGTAAAATAGCATCCATGGACTCACTCATCTTGGCTCACAACAAGGAAGGCTGTTTTAGTGTCCAGGAGAAAGCAGAGAGTGTCTCGGCAAGTAGAAGCTTACCATTAGCATTAGCAACTCCAAAACATGGCAGATATATTTCAAGCTTGTGTTATTTGTGGGGATAAAACATCAGCGTTACAAAGCATACAGAGGTGGTCGACGAGTTGTTGTTAGCAAATCAGAGGCGAGATGTCCGAATATCATGAATATAATGAGTAAGATGCCAAATGCTGCTGTTTTCAGCCCTCCTCACCTCCAGCTAACTTCTACTTCCTTAAGTGTCAGAACATGACTAGCAAGGCATCCATTTATACAAGAGACCACAGATTTATTGAACAAATGAGTGAACGGGAGCTGTAGTATCACATTTAAGTGCTTGCATGGAATGCAGCATGAGGTGACCCAGACCGTTGCGTCTTGGTCGACCATTGGACCCGTTAACCTTGTTAGGGATGAGCTACAGAGGATCAAGTTGGCACCTGCTGCACTTCTATTGATCCACGCTCACATCCTGAGCAGAACTCCAGCAAATTATCAGATCCTCTCGTGGATAAACAACCAAGGCAGAGCTTTTAATCAGGAATGCACAGTCTTAACAGAATTACGTTATTCTCCCATTAGTTACCTAAATAGGCAACGGTCTGATGTTGTTACCCCTCATCCAGCTGCAAGCTGATATCAGTAGTGAGCATTTTGGTGCAATACAGCGAGATGTACTCAAGAGTGGCTGTGTTGTTTTGTTAGCTTGTGTTGCACTTCCCCAAGGGAAATATGAGCACACACAAGGGCTCAGCTAAGATGAATTAGGCCAGGACCAAAGACACGCCCAACAACAGAAGCTGGAGCAGGTTGTTACTCCAATTCAGCAGAATGCTCCACATGACTACCGGCAGTTTCTTCAGCATGTTTAGAAACCCATTTGTCAAGCAATTGTGGATGCATCTTTGGGTTTTTCCTTGTGTCTTGGTTTTTTGAGGTCTAATAAATAACTATTTAACAGATGTCAGCAGAACAGAGAGGAGACAGTAGGGCTTGTCTCGTGGAATCTTGGCAGCTTTTAAGGCCTCCGTTTTAACAATGTCTGAAGACATTTATCATTTAGTGCAAGTCTCTCACTTTGCACAGCGATCATCTCTTCCCCTCCAGACCTTGAATAACTTCTGTCTGCTTTTCACTCTATTAATCTGCATCACTGAGTCAGCGAGCTGTGATGAATAGCCTAATGTGAGTTGGGCTTTTGTTCAATAACTTTCGTTACAAAAAGGAGAGAAAGGCTTAATTTGATGTCTGGGAAATTTTTATGAGTCTTAAAAATAAAATCAGTTAACAAAAACAAACTATGTATATAAATATGTATCCAAAGGAAGCATGTCTTGTCATTACACCATTAGCAAGGATTTGTTGGAGTTGTGCCAGGCTATGAAGTGTAATGAGAAAATGTGTGCGTGTCAAGGAAAAGACAAAAAAAAACAGAAAGTAAAGCTGAAAATTGCGAATCACACAAAGTGGAACTTCTTCTCATGAGTCTGTGCAGGAGATTCGTCAAGACAATGAGTCATGCTGCTTTGCTGCGCTGCACGCTTTGCTAAAAGTGAAAGGTTCTCAGAAGACTGAGCTTTACGGATTCGTGTCTTTTGTGAAGTTTTCCTTCAAGTGTCTACGGAGTGTGCTGTGTGACTGTGACTCTGGCTGTGGGGAATTAGGGTCGGGCTGTGTGCCAAATATTCCAATTGCAATAACTTTTTTTATTTTATTTTTTCCCAGTTAGAGTTGTGAAAACTGCAAGCAGTCATCTGTACGAACAACCTCGAGTGGCCTGGATGTGATTGGGTTGTAATTGAAGTTTTCTTTTTGTCTTGTTTCCAGATGTATAAATGAAGTATGAAACTCAAAAATGGGTAGACACATTTTTTTTATAAGAGCTTGACTCACACTCCCTGGGTTTGAATTTAGCTTTGCAAAGCTTATGGCAGATTTCTGTGCCACAGACTTACAGAGAACAGCAGCAAACAAGTTGAGGAGGATGTGTGGATGGAGTCGGCTGCTGAAAGCTGTTTGGTTTTAATCCTGTTGCAGCCGGCCTCTGATTATGCAGACTCTTGAGCGCACTTCAAAGCGCTGCAGCAGCCACCATGATGGCTCTCTCAGCCTGTTTCTTTGGACTTCACCCTCAGAAGTTTTTACCTGCCTGTAGCCCTCATTGTGATCTGTTTTGTTCCAGCCGAGGGGATTTAGCTCAGCATCCTGGGATTGGACCTTTTTCTGTGTGTGAGGTTATCCACATTTTGATCGTTATGCATTATGAGCTCTGATCGTGGCCGGCAGGTGCGTGTGTCCTTTCGTTAGGCACACTGACCCAGGTCAGAGCAGCTAATGGGATGGACTCTAGCTTCTCTAGATGCAGACTCTTTTGGGAAATCTTTCTCACACACCACAACCCACAGGGGTCCTCTTCACCCGGCGCAATTCAGGTGTGCTGTCTGGAAACGGAAGCCTTTACACTTTGAGTTTCTCCTCCTTTTTCCTCTTTTCTTTCTGCCTGAAGCTCACCATGAACTCTGACTCCTTAATCACAGTTAAATGCTGTCAGAGCTTGGAAGTGAGAGACTGCTGGGTAAAGTTTGAGAACCTCTGGTTGAGAGGCAGCGAGGTAATGGGTTTTGCTCTCAACTGGAAGCTAAAGAAGGTTTAAAACCAAATCACAACATTTGTTTAGCTTCCAACCACTAAAGATTTCTGCAAATGAAATCACTGCACAGTTAATTTGGAAAATGTTTCTTTTGTTTTGTGTTATATATGTTGAAAATACGGTTCGGCTTTGCATTCAAATCAATGGTTCTGTGCTTCTAGTTGAGTGGATACTACCTATTTTTCTGCTTTGCTGAGGGAGCGCTGATGAGTGCTTATAGAGTGCTAAACCAAGCTGCAGCTGAACTGGTCATTCATTACCGCGGCCGCCCTCACACACCTCTGATTTAATGTGCTGGGGTCGTTTGCGTGGCAGTAGCTCAGCCCTCGGGGATCTCATTCGCGGCAAACTAGAGTCCAGGAGGAGATTAGATCCAAATCAGTGCGAGCCTTGTAATGTGGCCTCTAGTTTGTCCAGCCACAGAAGTAATAGTGCACCAGCCCAGTGTTCAGAGACCCCCTTCAGAGCAGACCTGTCTGAAACAGGGAAGGGCTGATCATCTTCCTGCTGCGTACCTGGAAAAAACAGGCCTCAGTGCCATCTGAGGAAGAGGCTTCATTAAGCCCCCACTCCGGCTGATCATAGCTTCGGCAAAGCGAGCATACAAAGAGGAGGGAGTGGTGTCTTTACATTTACAACAGAGTCTGCAATGGTGTGAGATTCAATGATGGAATATCTGCTGCTCTGACTGCTGTGTTGGCTGGGAGCTCAACCTGGGCTTGTATGTGATGCGATACAGCTGCTGCTTATGATAAAGAGAAATAAAGTCGTCGCTTCTCAAAAGAACGATTACACCGAGGGGACTGAGGGCGGCCTACAACTCAGAGCCGATTATTCATTTAACCTGGAAATTTAACAGTTTTCTTGCAGTTGTAGATTTTAATTTGTTTTTGTAAACAGACCAACTCCCTGATTGTGGAGGATCTTATTTTTTTTATAATCCTCCTTGTAAAGAAAGTGATCTCTGCTCTTATCGTATCGTAACTTAAGCATTTTACATCGGCAGGGAGTGTTTTTATTCTTTACTGATGCTCAGATCTTCAGTGTTGTCTCAGAGCACAATCAGGCGCTTCCCCTGGTGTTAATCCACACAGAACGCGTCTACATTATTATTCAGTGATATTAGACATTTGGCGTGTTTAGCAAGCATTTAGGAGTTCCTCTGTCCTTGTCAGTTTCATACCTCACCTGCCTTACTTCAAAAGACACCTTCATGAATTTATCAGTACAGACTCTTTCAAACAGACAATTTAAATAGGTAACTTCTCAAGGTGTTCCAGATGTTAGAAACATTGAAATGCATTTTTTTTATTTGATCTTTGATTCTTCTTTAGAAACACTCAGCGGGTTTCATAAAGCAGCCTTTGTAACGGTCTGGCTTGTCAAAGCAAATGATTTGGTAACACTTTATAATAAGTGCACACTATTAAGCATTAGTTAATCATCAGTAAAGCATTGGTTAATGGTTATTTAATCATTTGTAAAGCATCTGCAAAAACATGATCATAATTACTTAATGGCTTACAAGCACCACTATTAAGGCTTTATTCATGATGAAGAAGCTACTATGTCACACTTTTTATTCATGATGTTTCATGATCTATAAGTCATTGATAAATCATTTATAAACTCTGCTCTCCATCATGTACAAACCAGTCCTTTCATGATGTAAAACAGTATACAACCCCACTGGTAAAGGGTAAGTAAATAGTTAATATACCCTATATAATACTATAAACTAAACATTTACTACACATACTTGAGTCTCACTAGATGTTTTCTAAACACTGAATCTCACGACTACATCTGTCAGCTACTAAATGTTAACAGATGTCTTACAATACATTTACAATTGTCACTTAACGGCTTCCAAAGATGCAGCTCCCTAGCGACCCACTTCTTTTTCAATAGATAATCTATCAATTATTATAAATACATTAATAAACTACTTTAGAACGTTACAAACCATTTACTACTTCTTAGTTAAGTATTTTGAGTGAGCTCATCTAAAGTGGAGACTATATATACCTTACAACCTATTAATAAATGTGAAAGTTTTTCAAAATACATTGTAACAAAAATAAAGGACAACACAGATACACAAAGCACTTTATTTTTAAGATGCCAATTATAAAACATCAGAACAATGCTTCCAAATATTGACACACAACTGTCAAAACAAACATTTTGCTGAACCACTATTAGCCAGTATTTGAAGTAAAGAACAAGGCTTGATGCACTTTTATGACCTGTATGTTTTTACATGAAATGTATCACATGTGTGATCTTTAAAATAAACATAGAATCTAACAGTAAAAAAAATAATAAAAGTCATGCAAACCAAAAATAGTGTCTTTTTTATCACACCAATCTGCCAATCAACTGGACTACATAACTAAATCTGGCCCTTTTTGCAGTTAACAATGGTGACCTATCACCACATTTCACAATGTAAAAAAACACACACAAATCTAGTCTTTTTTTTTAAGAGGAAGCAACTTCCCAGAAGACTTATAGGACTCACGTTTGTCCTCTAGTTCTGGATCTGCACTGATTGCTGCAGCACACTGTGTTGCAAACAATGACAGTTTATTTCCCTGTCTGTTTTTTTCTAATTCTTTATACCTATCAGGTGCGACAATGAAAAGCTCAGCAATTGGAGCAGTTGCCACAATTGTGTTCCGGTCCACTCCCAGACGTTTAAAGGCAGCTGACATGGTCCCTCCTCTTTTGAACAGCCTCAAAATCCTCTCATACCGGGAGACCACTTGTTTGGGATTCTGGGCTGCAATTTAGAGAACAAATGTGTTATATTGACATTATTAATTTTATGTAATAGTGTAGTAATGTAACACACATATTTCTAAATTTACTCATTAACTGCAAATGACGACTAAAGTTGTTATTTGCATTTTTATACTGTGTGGGCATCGGAAAGAGCCCCTGCACTGTGAGAACATACGTGCCAGCTCTACTTTATTACATTTGTGAGTTTTCAAGCTAAGGATGAAAGCAATCTAAAAACTGGAATTTATGAAAGATTATTTAATTTTAGTCACACATAAGTCTCTATAGACACTAGAAGGGTTAAATAACATAATGAACTCAGAGGAACAACTGTACAATACAGCATGTAGGATCAAATTATAGAAAGATTTAATCACTATACCTCTTGTTCTTGCAATTTGGTCATGTTTCTTTGACTTCTTATTCTTTTTGGCTTTGCCTTTCTTCTTCCTCTTCTGACTGTCTTCATCTGATGAAGTTGTGCTCATGGAGGAGTCAGAACCCTTATCAAATGACCCGTCAGAGGAAAGTGAAGACATGCTCAGTACGTCACTGGGATGCTGGACAGACCTTGTGGGTTCTTTTGTGAGACCTAGTAAAACAGTTAAACAAACAACACAGACAAAGTTACAGAACAGAATGCTAATGTAAATGCTAAAGCAAATAAAGTATTTGTCATGCTATGTAATGTTTTTAATAGTGGACTTACATGCTGCTAATTGCTCCTTTAGATAGTCTCTTTCTTTGGTGAGCTCATCAATCTTATCCTTTTGCCACTCTAGCTTCATCTTACAGATCTCCACCTCTTGTGATCGTCTTCTGTCTGTCAGCTGTGCAGTTGGAGCAATAGTCACACCTAGAAAAAATTAAAAACAAAAAGAAACTAAGCTATTAATCCAACTAACGATTGATTAAACAACAACTGCAGAAAATGCTAAAGTACATTTTGTAAAATATGAATAACAGTAAAAACATTGCAATGATTAATACATAGCCTGCTGTGGTAAAATTACAAATTATATTAAGTTGTTTTAAGAAACTTGCTTACTTGACAATAATTATATATTAATGTATTTCAAATATATTGTATTAGACTGTATAATGTAGAGCATTTATTGCATATTTATATTGCATAAACATGCATCAAAAAACCTACAGAATGACAAATAAAATTGCAGAGAGCACAATTATAACTAACAGCAGCCCAGAGTTATTCCAAAAGCAATAATCCTTAATTATTCCTTTAACTGAGTCACAAAAATAACTAGTAACATACACTGCACATTGTTTTTGTGGATATCTAAAGCTTGAATGTAGCTGAAAGCTAAGCTAACCGCTTATTAGCGGTTAGCGCCTAGCCCCGTGATGGTAGTTTTTTTCCAACAAAATTACCAAACACAATAAAGTGCAAAACACTCACCACTGGTAACACTGACATCCACCTTGTCCACGTCGTTACTTCCCTTTTTTGCCCTCGTTCGCCTGCCTATTGCAGATCGACCAGGGCTCGTCATGTTCACAGAGCTAGAGGAAGCCATTACTCCACCTTGGTTATGCCCTAGAGGTGAAAGGGCACAGCATCGCGGTCTCCTATTGGTCACGTCGGAAGACGGAAGCAGCAAATGCGCGGCTTTCTCTGGCCAGAAGCGACATTGCAGCTAAAAGCTAGCGTAACTGGAAACTCATTAAATGATATTTTGGCCAAAAATGGGAAATTTTACACGACTGAAAAAATTAATTAACGAGGAGCTTTCTAGAAGAGGCCCACTGAAGCTTATAAAACATCTTCAGAAGATTAAACTGCTTAAAAGAAAAATGAAATGCAAAGTATGCCACCAGGAAACAAAACTGAAGAAAAGGGTGAACAACGGAGACCAATATGCCTGGTAAGAAATGCATTTTTAATTTTTGTAGAACGCCATAATAACCGGGGCACTTACTGTAAAATTCATTGTTATTATTTGGTTTTATACCTAAATCCTCATTGAAACAGAGCAAACAGGGACATCTCTTGAAAGGGATGTTCCACCCCTAAATACAAAATGCTTTTTTCTTACTTAAGTAACTCACTGTATATAATGATACATACATTTTTTCATGTTACAATTTTTAAACAGGATCTGTCGAGGAGCAGCCCATGGTGGACGCGTTAAACAAATCTCTGTCAGACACAAGTCCCTTTTCAGCCGTTCGAAAGTCTCACTTCAACACTGGATGCAATTTATCTACAGGTAAGCATAAACACTACACAAAAAGGAACTAAATTTAAATTACTTTTTGTAAGGATGTTATTTTTCTCCCTGAAGATTCTCTCAGGGTCTCAGATTACGTCAAATTGACATGATCGATGACACCATTGCAGGCAGTACGACAACACTTAGTAAAATGTCCAAAAAATTAAGGAGGGTATGTGTGGCTGCAGTTGAAAGAATGAGACGTCGTACAGGTCAGCAGATTGGTGGCCGGAGGGAGTTTGTTGTGATCGATGAGAGTCATTTTCGTCACAAACGAAAGGTAAGTTTTGTAATAGAAATTATTTATTACATCTATATAATGACCTTTCACAGCATTTTTTTGCCATTTGTCTTAATTGTTTTCTTTCTGCATCAGTATGGGAGAGGAAGAATGGCAGGGGGCTGGAAAAGAAGAAAGTGGGTGTTCGGAATGCTGGGCATAAAAAATCAGCGTAAAACAAGGCCTATCTTGCGTCTTGTGGAGAAAAGATCTCGAAGACATCTTGTTCCTCTGATCACCCTTCATGTCAGGATTGGTTCAAAGGTGATAAGTGATGAATGGCGGGCCTATCGCGTTCTCCCAAACTTAGGTTATGGACATTATACTGTTAACCACAGCAGATGGTATGTGGACCCTCTAACAGGTGCCCATACCCAACATCTGGAGAGAGCCTGGAGGTCTTACAAGGAGAGAATTTGGAGACTCCGGGGTAACAGAAATGACAGCCTACTATCAGAACACCTTACAGTTATTGAGTGGAACGAATGGCTTGCAAAAAAGCACAAACAGGGTGCTTTAGGGAGACTGATATATGACATTTCAAAAAAGTACAGATAAAAAAGTTACTGTTGCAACTGCAGTTTTTTTATTCACCTTTTGAAAATTTTATTTGAGCACTTCATGTAAAAACATACAGGTCATAAAAGTGCATCAAGCCTTGTTCTTTACTTCAAATACTGGCTAATAGTGGTTCAGCAGAATGTTTGTTTTGACAGTTGTGTGTCAATATTTGGAAGCATTGTTCTGATGTTTTATAATTGGCATCTTAAAAATAAAGTGCTTTGTGTATCTGTGTTGTCCTTTATTTTTGTTACAATGTATTTTGAAAAACTTTCACATTTATTAATAGGTTGTAAGGTATATATAGTCTCCACTTTAGATGAGCTCACTCAAAATACTTAACTAAGAAGTAGTAAATGGTTTGTAACGTTCTAAAGTAGTTTATTAATGTATTTATAATAATTGATAGATTATCTATTGAAAAAGAAGTGGGTCGCTAGGGAGCTGCATCTTTGGAAGCCGTTAAGTGACAATTGTAAATGTATTGTAAGACATCTGTTAACATTTAGTAGCTGACAGATGTAGTCGTGAGATTCAGTGTTTAGAAAACATCTAGTGAGACTCAAGTATGTGTAGTAAATGTTTAGTTTATAGTATTATATAGGGTATATTAACTATTTACTTACCCTTTACCAGTGGGGTTGTATACTGTTTTACATCATGAAAGGACTGGTTTGTACATGATGGAGAGCAGAGTTTATAAATGATTTATCAATGACTTATAGATCATGAAACATCATGAATAAAAAGTGTGACATAGTAGCTTCTTCATCATGAATAAAGCCTTAATAGTGGTGCTTGTAAGCCATTAAGTAATTATGATCATGTTTTTTCAGATGCTTTACAAATGATTAAATAACCATTAACCAATGCTTTACTGATGATTAACTAATGCTTAATAGTGTGCACTTATTATAAAGTGTTACCAATGATTTCAGTCTTGGGTTTCTCCACTAAGAACCTTTGTTGACTTTTCTAGTTTCAGTTTGCTTGCTGGTCATTTAAATTCCACCTATTTTCATCATAAAAATGTGTTGAAACTATCTAAGATGTATTGACCTTGCAATGAATTTTTTATATTAACAGAGAGACATAATTGCCAATGTTTTCTTACAGGAAGTTGAAGCTCTTTAGGTTTGGGGCTGAGCTTTGTCAGTTTACCATACCATACCATACCATCTTTATTTATAAAGCACATTTAAAAACGGCATGGCAGCCGACCAAAGTGCTGTACAGAATAAAAAGTAAAAACACAATATAAAACAATATTTCTCCTGAGGGGTTCCCAGTCCTGTTCTTTGGGTTTTCTTTGGGACGGTTGTTGTTTCCCTCAGGTCGCCCAGTTTGTCACGCCTGCAGTTCATTCAGTTAAGTAGTCCATCTGCCTTTTTGCCCAACTGGCTTCACTCTGTAACCACCCTTCTAGGCAGTTAAATAGTCCTCTGGTTCTACCTCCTGCCCTGTTTGTTTCTTTGGCTGGCTTCTTGTTGCTTTTCAAGCTGCTCTGAGATTTGTTTTTGTAGACGTGCATTCATTTTCTTGTGTTTTTTGCTGACATGCTAGAGTAACATTTTTAGTAAAATCTCAGCTTTTTTGGGGGGGGGGGGGGGGGGGGGGGTGTCATGATTTGTGTCCGTCTTAAAGTGACAGTGGGTATTTTTCCTAGCAATAGGGGCCAGTAGATACCTAAATCGATACAAGCAAGCAGTACTTTTGTGTTGGAGTAAGACCTTACCAACGGATGCCCATTAGGGTCAAAAGCCTCGGGGACTGCAAACATTAGCAAAATAATAAGCACATCAGACTCCCTTTCATCAGTGGCAACAAGTGAAGATGTAAATGTGTAAAACTACAACATTTAAGAATGACAAAGGTTTGGTAACTGTTTGTTATAGCTACATTATTACATGATATAAATAAGGTGTATAATGTCCAAAAATACAAAGTTTGATAAAGACATAAAGTTTTAACTTTTAATCTTTAAAGTTCTGAAAATGCCATAGCTTTATGAATGTCTTTATATTCAATACCGGTAATTATTGCTTGAGGTTTCAGTCATGGTAATAGTTATCAAGAGCCAAGAGGGTTGCAATGAAAAATGTGTGTTAGGAACCGCTTTGATGATGCAACCTCCTTGCACAAGCAACACGAAGCAGCTGTGTAATTTTTGTAGCCAGAAGGGATTTTGTGTAACTTGTCCAATCTTTGCATTTGCTGGAGTTGAAATAATAGAACTCACCCCTTAAAACATGTAAATTAGCAGAGAGAGTTAGTTTTAAAGATTGTAGTTACTGCTCTGGAATGAGCTTGCACTGATGTTGTTTTTTTTTTATTATTTTAACTATTTATTTGTAACAATATCCCTGCAGCATCTTAATGGGGACTAATATGTCATTGCTTTGATTTATTTATTTATTTAGAGTCTTTTGGCCAGTTTGTTGTGGGATAGCTGCTCCCATATGGGGAGGAACAGAGATAATGAGTTTTATATTTAAGGGTGCTGAATTTATATATGTTCAAAATGCTGTCACTTATCAGTGGTCATCATTCCTCAGCTTTTTCATTATCACTTAACATAAATAAAACCACCTTTATATTGTATTGTTGAAAATAACAAATATAGTTTACACATATTTTTCATTGGAAAAAAGTAAACATCTAATTGAGTTGTTTAAGCAATGGGATGGAGAATGAAAGTGGAAGTTTATTATTGTTCTATGTTGACATTGTGGGTTTAATGACATTATGGATAATGAATATGTTGCTTTTCTACTGACCCTTTTGACCTTTTTTAGGTTTTTTACAAGTGTCTTGTATATAATGTGTGTATTACTATACTAAGACACACTCTTTATGAATCCTTTTTACACACTCAGTTGAGTTTTGTTTTTCCCACAAAGGAATCAACCTTTGACCTAAGATGTTGGGAGATTACCAAAACAGCAATGGCTGCCCCCAATCAAATAGCTGCACACTGATGACCATTTCATTCTAGTTCATAATGGATTTGTAATATCTCCTAAAAACAAATATCAAAGGTTTAATTTTTAGAAGAAAACAGATTCTGCTCACGTTCAAACAGCAATGTTGTATTTTGTCCTTCATCTTATGAAATATTTAGGCCGAAGTTGTTTGTAACAATAAAAACCTTTTAGTTGGGATGATTCATTTTCCAGACGTTTGTTATTCACGATGAACTATTAAATGGTTTAGAGAGATTATGTTTGAATAATTGATTTGCTGTTGTGATTTTGAAGATCTTTGAGAGTAAACCTCGGCGGATGTGGTGATTTTGTTTGGTAATCTGACAGGTTTGATGTCCTTTCTCTTCATGCCTGCAGGCTGTGAGAGCGACTTCTGGGGACCTCATTGCAGTAACCGGTGCCAGTGTCGTAACGGGGCGAAGTGTAACCCCATCACAGGTGCTTGTGTTTGCACTGACGGCTACCAGGGATGGCGTTGCGAGGAGCTGTGTGAGAACGGCTACTACGGCAAGGCGTGCCAGCTGTCCTGCCAGTGTCTCAATGGAGCAACCTGTAACCACGAAACAGGAGAGTGCATTTGTCCATCGGGATACACAGGAGCTTTGTGAGTACATGCAACATTATTTACTCCTTTGGCACTTTCCGTGAAGAAATGCGGACGTGTCATTGCGACTTTTGACTCGTGACTTGTGTGGTGGCAGCTGCGGAGAGAGCTGCCCCTCTGGTAGTCATGGGCCTCAATGTGAGCAGCGCTGCCCCTGTCAGAATGGAGGAACGTGCCACCACATCACTGGAGACTGTTCCTGCCCTGCCGGGTGGACGGTAGGTCACAAGAGCTGTAAGAATGTAATGAAGAAGTAAAGCCTCGGAGAAGAAAATGATTAAATGTCATTGGTGTTGTACAGAAAAAAGAAGTGTAAGTTTTAAATTATAGAGCTCATGTGTAATAATAGTGCTGAAAAAGAAGGGTTTGCCTCGAGTTTAGAACATTTTCTTGGTCTAACACTTTCATACACAGTCACGGGAATAGGAACCTTGTTTTAGTTCTTGGGTTGGTGTGTTAATGCGCAACTGTATGCTCCAGACCAGCTAAATGCTCCTGATCATGTATAGGAGGTCACACTGACCTAATGATCAGTTATCTAATCCGAAGCACCTGGATTATTGTCTCGCTAAAGCATACGGCCATAGACAAATGGAAATATTGACCCTTTGCACATTAGTCACAAGATCACATGGGTCCACCATAAAGGACTGCAAAAGCATAATAAACAGTGAGTGAAACCAGTATTGGAAAAAAAAGGGAAACGTGATGCTTAAGACTTGTTTTGTTGTTGTAGCATGGCTTCAACTAGTCCAAGCCCAGTTCAGTTATCAGAAGTAGTGCACCTAGGTGGGGCAACAGTAAATTACGCGAGTATTGAACAGAGGAAAAGTGGCGACTGAGGTTATTTTTTGCCAGTTTGGCCCGGTTTCTACTGGTTCAAACCCAGTTCACTTGTGGGCAGGTTCAGCACACCTAGATGAGGCTCACAGAGCAGTACTTACAAAAAGTGGTGTTAGCTTGCTTACAAACATTAGTTTACATCCTCCCTGCTGCTGCTCACCGATGTAAACAAGTCTGACTGCCAGAATTCATCCTGCTGGATGTATAACATTATGTGATAAATAACATAATTTTAACACACATAATCCAGCATAGGTACAAAATTATTATAATAAGTAATTGTGTTGCAGTTCACTATAATGCACGGTAACACTCCTCCTTCATATGCAGGATTATCAGTACTAAATGAGTAATTTAAACATCGCATTTATCATTTCAGGTCCATCACAGTCTGTCCCTGTCTTCTTCATGAATCTTATAATCTCACCCAGTAAAATGTTTTCGCTGCAAATTCGCAAATACTTTGAGGGCTGCTAGTCCGTTACCGCATCTGGCTCATCTCCGTCTCTAGTCTCTATCAAAGTTATTTAAAAACAGACAAGTTTGCACCATTGTCTGTAAGTGCAGCCAACCACGCAGCAAACTATTACCATTTTACTATGAAATCAACTAAATAAAAGTGAGAAAAGGTCACAAACTGGCTAATTTTGACTAGCTTCCCAGAAGTTTCATGGTATGTAAACCAATGCAAACAGTCTTTCTGCCATCCATCATGATGAAGGGGTTGGTTCCATGAACGGCGTGACATCACTTGCAAAGGGTCAATTACAAGGCTGAATCTTCATCCCAGTTTATCCCTGCTTTTATCAAATGATCGTGTAAAATTTTAAACATTTATTTTGCCATTTGATGCCTTGTGCCAGAGTTAGTCGCATCTGCAGTCCTGACAGAAAAAAAAACTTCCTAAACACCCCATTCTAATTAAAAGAACTCCATACACAATTTTGTTGAAAATCCTCACATAGATGTGTTCAATCAGCACTACAATAACTATGTTCAAAAAAGTGTCTTAAACTCATTGAAAAGGTTAAATGTAGTTTGTTCCTTGGTTAAAAGTGATAGAAAAGTTTCAAAATGGGTAATGATGTTGTTACAACCTGTGGTGGGATTTAAAATGAAGCACCGGGTGTAACACATGCCATGATAGACAAAGTCAAACAGTTATTTGTAATAAAATGATTTTAATCCACCGAACACCATTTACTGACTCTTGGTTTGCTCATGGTTGGTTCCATAAATAGAAAACTATCCATCCACAACTGCTGTATCATGAAGGTCCCCTGACCATCCTCGCTTGGTGTGGCAGGAGGAAACCAGCTCCAACCTGATTCCTCATCTGTTTTAAAACCAAAACAAATCAGAGTTCCCTCAACTCCTACAACTATTAAAAACCAGTGAAACATACATGGAGCAAATGGGGGAAATGGTACAGATCCATCCCCCCCTTTTGTTCTTGCAGCTCTGCCATTTTAGACTCAAGTAGAAATCAACAAAATCAGGTGCATTTCTGCTGAAGGGAGGAGGAAGAGCGGACACCCATAGGATGTGCCTCTGTCCTGTTGAAGGACTCTGGGCATCAGAAGATGGCTCCAATTTGAATCCACAGCTCCTGCTTCCAGGGCAAAGAGGCAGCAGCTGTAATAGACGTAGAAGAATCTGTTGTGGGTTTGTAGATTTGGGTAGTTTTAGACATTTTCAGGCATTTTTTTCTTGAGACATTACACCCAAAAACTAGAAGAGGAGGCATTTTCTCTCTCCTTGAAAACGAGGCACATCCCCATTATCTGGTTTTATATCGTCCAAACATTAGAGAAGGAGATTTATTCTAAGGTTTCAAAGTTCTCATTAGAGTCAGATTGTTTTTTTGTGTACAATATTTTATCTGCTTTGTTTTCTAAAGGGTTCAGTTTGTGCCCAACCCTGCCCTCTTGGGAAATATGGCATCAATTGCAGCAAAGATTGTTCCTGTCGTAACGGCGGCCTGTGTGACTACGTTACGGGGAAGTGTCAGTGTGCAGCCGGCTTCAGCGGACGCAGGTACGCCGTCGAATCAGCCGACAAATAGATGAATAAATTATCATGCATGATGCACAGAAGCTTCCTGTGAAGTATTCAGTGCAAACTTTTGCACTCATACTTTGCAAATAGGTCATGCAATGGCATGCTTTATTGATATTTGTATTTAATGCAAAAGGGTGGCTTTTATGCAGATACATTAAAGCAGTCACTCATTGACCTATTCTCTTTGGTGGTTTCTAAATGAGGCACAAACCTGACTTTTATTTTTAAAGATAAAGGCATTGCTATAAAATCTCACGCTCAGGAGAAATAAGCATTTATTAACACCCATAACTCCATCTGAAGGTGGAGTGGAAGCTTTTAATGGGGGTGTTTATGCTTAATTAATCTTGTAGTGCACGCTGCCCAGAAAGGTTTCACGTCTCAAGCCCTTCATCCACATCCTTTCCCAGCCCGTCCATTGATCTCACCATGGGCTATACGTTGGTTGGGTACTGCTCATTAATTATAAGTAATGGGCTTATATTAAAGTCTCATCGAAATACACAGATCTTTTTAGTTTCCCGTGCCTTCTGGAGCAGCCCAGAGCAGCCTGCATTTATTAGTTCAGCTAAAGCAATTGTCTCTTTGATGGAAACACTTCCCTTACAAGACCTTTACTTTACTTTATTATTTTACAAAATTACCCTCATTCATTTTGTCAGTGGCAGGTGAATTAACCTGCCAGGAATAATCTGAGTTTGCGTTAACCTCCAGCTTCTTCTGTCTGGTGTAATAATACAGTTGTCTCCTGATAAAACTACAGCTGGGGTAATTTAAACATCAACCATTACTTGAAGATTTTCTAATGTAACTTAACTATTTCTAATAGATTCATTTAAACTCCTGAGACCAGTTTTCTCGCCAGTTCTACAAAGTGAAGCCAGCATGTAAGAAAAATCAGACTTCTGATCCGTTTTAGTGCTTTTATTTTCTGTGGCTAAGTCTTGTCTGGCTCCTGCAGAAGAAACAGAAGCGCTCACAGCTTTTCTTTTAGCGATTCTATGAAAAGTACTTGGAGAAATTCGACCACTGTCTTTTAAAAGTAAATGGATGGATGTATCCTAACAACAAAAGTAGTGGATGAAGTTTGACTTCAACTCAGATTTAAATGATTATTCTTGCATTGTTTTATTAGTATTTTTTGTTAAACAACTCAGTGGGCAGGTGTTATTGTTTAGACATTTTTAGCAATTGCACTTTATAACATAAATTATTTAGTGAATTTGTTTTTGCTAATAGTAGCAAAAAAATGTTGGATCATACTTTAAAGTTTAACATACATTCTTGCTACAACCCCGGTCAGAGGAGGTTTTACTGATGTCCGGGGTGTGTGTGTGTGTGTGTGTGGGAGGGGGGGGGGGGGTCCAGCTGCTCTGGTAAAGAGACACATTTGTAAGAAAATACATTTGAATTTCAAATTTTTTATTAGTTTCAAAACATAAGTATGTCGCAGATGATGTGTTGTCTTAGTTATTTATCTCAGCAACAACATGTACATATTTGTCTCAGCCTTTCTATTCAACTTCATATAAAGTCATTCATTCACATTGATTCCACACCTGACATTAGGCTAAATTATCTCATAAATCAGTACTTATCAGCAGGGGAGGCTCCAAGCTTGCAGTAAGGGTGGCACTGGCCCACCTTGGACCCCCCTCGCAAGTGCAAGAAAAAACTGTGAAAACATAAAACATCAGATTTTTTTAAATAGATAAAAAAGGAAAGATACAATCAAAGTCTGAGTATTTACAGTGCAGAAGGTGCAGCATAAGAAGCAATCACTTAAAGGCAGATAAAAACATTAACATTTTCAGGTAAAAGTTTAAAGTAGTTACATTTCAGCTAGATTGTTTGATATTTTTTCAAGCAATTTTCCCAAACTTGTTCATTTAGCCCACACTAAAACAATCAACAAAAAATAATATTATGACTAATTATAAATGTAAACACATGGATGCGTAACGCTGACATTAAAGCAAATGTTGTATAAAATAAAAACTTTTGTAATATGGTATAGAAAGTTTCTCGTTTAACCTTTCAAAGAGAGGTTTTCTTTAGTTTGCTATGTTTTTGCTTTTCAACATTTTTCCACATATTTCCACCATTCACACTTATCCTCAATAAAATCACACTGAATTTGTGAATGTTCGATCATATTCTCATAAAAAAAACTTTTCTTATTGTGATGAAGTAACTACATATATTTTAAAGCTTTAAATATTCATTGTTATAAAATAATCATGTTTAATTTATGACTGCCATGATGTAAGCCAGATGTTCTCATAATATAGTCTCTGGTGAGATGGGGGTGATGTGTTGAGATATGTTCCCAGGTCAACATTAATCTCCTTTGCTCCTTTTCCCCTCTTAAGTTTAGCTTCCCTCAATAATATACTTAAAGAAATTAACAGCTAAAAGAAAAGATCTGTATTTTCTTTTGTCCATTTTTTCCATTTCAGTAAGGAAACCTCATCCTGATGTCTTGCTTTCATCATGAAAGTTGTTTCTTCTGTGTGAGATCACACATTTGTCAAACACATATAACCAACTCATTATTTCAAGCTGTACATATCTAACATTCTATCGAATCTAACTTTTATTTTTAGGATGAAAAGGAGTTTTAACAACAAAAGAATGCTCGTGTTTGAACAAGAACATTTTTTAATTAGTACAATGTAAATATGATGCGATAAATAAATAGTTCATGATTATTGCTCAACTCAAAGTACAATTCTTTGCATTGGATGAAATTTTGCAGGTGGTAATGAATCTAATATTTTGAGTTTTAGGACACACTGTTGCTCTGTAAATTGTCTCCAGGTGTCAAGAAGACTGTCCAGTGGGTACATATGGTCCACAGTGTAACCAGAGGTGTGAGTGTCGGAACGGCGCCAAGTGTCACCACATCAATGGAGCCTGTCTGTGTGAAACAGGTTTTAAAGGTCCTAATTGTCAAGAACGGTTCTGTCCCTCTGGCCTCTACGGTCTCATCTGTGACAAGTTCTGCGCCTGTAATACCACCAACACCGTGAGGTAAGTGAGGCCTCGAGGCCACACACAGCCTCGTTCCAACCAAGCCCTGAAGCTAAACATGGCCGTTGCTCTATATGAATAAAGACATCCCTGCCTCGGTTTTGTCTCAACTTATCGCTAAGCTCATTCTGAAGTCTAGACACATCACCGCCATGTCATCCAGTTAGCTTTTAATCGCGACTTTTGCTTCATTCATAATTTCTCAGCAGCATTCATAGTTAATGCAGTGTTAATGCTCTGATTCCGGCAGGAGTTGGGCAACGGCCATGGAAGTCATTACAGAATGAAGGAGAAAAGAGACACCTCATCTGTATGAAACATGCACGCAGACACGTGAATGGATTAATAGCCGTTGGCACGTGCTGTCATCTTGCTCAAAAATGAAGTGTGGATGTTTGAGAGATAAAACTTTACCTCTTTGTTTCCGTAACTGTTGTTCCATATTTCTTTCTCATTATGTTGTAGCTGCCACCCTCTTTCTGGTGAATGCTCCTGCTCTGCGGGATGGACAGGGCTTTACTGTAACGAGAGCTGCCCGTTTGGACACTACGGAGAAGGGTGCAGTCTGGCATGCAGCTGCAGCAACGGAGCTGACTGCCATCCCGTCACAGGTGCATGTACCTGCGCTGCTGGCTTCATGGTAAGCACTGTTAAACATAGGAATGTGTGATTGTTGCTTTAAATCATTTTTTGGGATTTGTTTAATCTTTCATAGTTTCTTCAGATCCATTTTATTGTAACATTCATCCATATTTTAATTAAAGTAAGCAAAACTGAAAATAATTGCTTAAAACATTAAAATCCACTTTTAAAGCATGAAGATGACTTGGTGTTGAAAATGACTGAACACACAGACACATCTGTTTAATGCAATGACAATGTATTGTGCTTCTGGTTTTGCATAATTAAGGGTGCACAATTACAATTATAAAGGTTCAATGCATAAACATTGAGGCACCCTTATTATTTGCATGGTAATCTCTCATTTCCATCTCTATTCATGACTTGCTTCTGTCCGTGTAGCTCTGGGAAACCCATGGGAAAAGAAATCACAGCACATACATCAGAATTAGTGAGCTTTTTTATTTATCCCTTTTTTTTTGCAGCAAACCTTACTATGTAGATTCAATTTGCAGACAAATGCAAACAAGTTCTGTAAACTTAACAGGATGTTGGTGAAATGAGTTAGAAAACTGCCCTTTTTGGAGCTTTATGGCTCAGGCAGATTTCACAACAAAAACTCTACTCTAAATTTAAATGGGTCACAGAGAGTTCGACTTTATGTTTCTACACAGACATTTGGTTATATTTTACGGTTTTTATATAATTGAAATAAAAAATGTTTTAGAGATTTCACCACTCCTTCAATGGAGTGTGATGATGTCACACACAATTTTGCACAAAACAATTCTTACACTCAAAATAAATGCATCTTTGTCTTCTTTAAAGGCATACTATGCAACTTTTTCATATTTTAAATTGTTTTCTTGATCCTGTATGTGCTAAAATGACCCTTTACATGGTTAATGAAAAGTCACTCAGACCCCACCGCCGTCTGTTGACAGAACACCACACTTGCAACTTCAGAGTATAGGGACGGGTTCCCGTAACCCCAACTTTCCACTGCAGGTCAAAGCGTCGTGAAACAGCCACGAAACATACTACGCGGCAATAAGCCACAGTTATAGTGGATGAGTTCCTTTCTCGCGGCAGCTAAGTGTGACGTTATGCGCACGCCCCAGAAGCGAGTTTATTTAGATGCACTACGCTTCCCAAACACGTCAAACTCCGCAGTTAAGATGGGGTTAGACCGGAAGTTAAACACAAAAACAGTATGGAACATCTGGAATCTTTGAAATAACATGCAGTTCATCATTTCCTGTTTGCATCTGTAACTGATGGAAACAGAACAGAAAATAACCCACACACAGTTTTTCATCCATGCAGCTGTCTTTCTTCTTGTTTATTATTGTGTGTGGATGTCTGTATTTACGTATGGTGTTGCAATTCTCTTGTGATTACATGACGTAACGGGATCAGCTGTGTGGAACACTTTTGCTCCCATTTCTTGTCAGAATTGCTCTTGTTTGGGAATGTGCTCGCGGATAGAACGCCGCTATTACGTTACGCGACTGCTTTCACGGCCAGTGGAAAGCCGGGGTGAGTCAGTGGAGCTGACATGCTATTGCTGCAGACTGCTTTCAGCACATTTCCTGCATGTTTTTGATCGTGAACGCAGCTGATTTGTCTGATTTAGAGATAATCACTCCTGTAGACATTAATGAAGGCTGAGGAGACATTTCAGCAGTTCGACCAATGTGTTAAAACCACAAATGCATAGTGAGAAGAGTTTCACTTTTGGTTTTACGACAGTCAGTTAAAACAGACTCCAGGGGGTGCTAAAAGCAAGCCAGACTGCATAGTTTCTCTTTTAGAGACTCTTGCTGATAGAAGTCTACAGTTTTCTTTCAAATCCCACCTGAGTGCAAAGCGGGCATCCCCAAACTCCAGTAGTCTCTAATTATAACTCAGCTCTTACATTTCTCCTGAAAATTGAGCATGAAGAGTCTTTTTAACTTTTCACACCTCCTACTTAAATCAACCTAGGCTTACTGAAATTACATTGACACGAGCATTTCCAACTTAAGGATTTTTATTTTGCAATGTGAATGCTTATTTGAGGCCTAATTTCTAGTCCGGGTCTCTGTCTACTTGTCTCATCAAGAGCCCCGTCAAGTTTAAAAGGGAAGTGTGCAGTTACAATGGTGACCTCAATAAAACATTTCTGTTGATCTTCTTTCTCTTCATACTTTTCATACCTTTTTACATCACTTTTTTAGCATCAAAACACAAATTTTGATTATTGCAAAGATACTTTCCAAATCATTGCTCTGAAAGAAAGTAGATTCCTTTGGTAATTATGTCGGTATTGTCACCCTTTAGCATTTCTTTAAAATGTTCTATTTTCATATGAAATGCTTTAGCCATGCCTCATCTTGTCTGTATTTTAAAGTGACAGAGTGTATTTAACTTGGCGATAAGGGGCAGTAGATACCTAAATCATTGCAAGCACGTAGTATTTTTGTGTTGGAGTAAGATCTTACCAACGTATGCCTATTAGGGTCAAAAAGCCCTGGGGACTGCAAACTTCAGCAAAATGGCTAACACGTTACACCTTCTTTCATCACTAGCAACGAGCGAGAAGGCAAATGTGTAAACAACAACGTTTATAAATGGTGAAAGTTTTGTAACCGTTTGTTACAAATCAGTAAATGCATTTTGTCCTAATGGGCTCCCGTAGCAGGAAATATGGCCTCTAATATGGCGTCGCGCAGAGTCTTAGACCCACTCCGCATGTATTTTAGACCTGATTTATTTGGTTATATGTTACAAAGCCACCAGTAATTTTCAACAACTAGGCTTCATTGAATTCATTTTTAACAACATTTGATGGATGTTTCCAGAGATTAACAATAAAAACTACACATTGCCACTTTAAGTAAGAATGCACACACACTTTAAAACATTTTACCCTTGAGCTGTGTGTGTCTTAGCTGTGAAGGTTGCAGACTTGATTTGTTTCATGTTATCTGCGGCTGTAGTAAAAATGTCTGTGACATTGTGGTAGTGATTTTCTTTGGAAGTGATCCCAGTTTCTCTTTAGGAGCTTTTTAACACACGGACAGTAAAACACAAAGTGAGATATTTTATCATCACCCTATTATTGATGTGCTCTTTTGCACCTCTGGATGTCCCTTTAGTATATTTTCCTATCTTGCAACCCCTTGCAGATGTTAAATATCAGTTGCACTACTGCACAAATACAGTACGAATTTCCGTGTAGGGTCAAAGCTTCAATCAGATCCGCTTGTAGCGCAGGAGAGAGAAAAAATGTCGTGACTAAATCAGTTTTGGTTGTTTTTGTTCAACCCCTTTTACAACTGTCACATTAGTTGTATAACTTCAATCAGCTTTGCCGACTATTTCTTGTCTTGCAGTCGGAAGTCACCGAGCAACACAAACCGAGAGATTACAGGTCTGCCAATGTTACATTTCAGTGGAAATTGCCTGTGTCTTACAGCGGGCCACTGTGGTGAATTGAACTTCCGAGTGGGGCTGCAGACTGTGTCTTAATTTGCTCCACCTGTTCGCTTTGGCGGCTGCTGGGAAGGGCTGCCAGATCCATTAAACAGACCTAGAGGGCAAAAGCTGGATAGAGAAGGAGTCAGTCAGATGGGAGCAGACACAGCTCATATGGAGAATGTGTGTGTTGCTGTGTGCGGGGAAGGGGGAGGTGAACGTTCATAGTCATTTTCTCTCTTTTTTTTGGTGACAAACCTGCTGCTGTGCAAACAACACGAGCAAATTGTTACAAGCTCAGAACTGTGTGACTGCTACCTGTTTGCGTCACATGCATATACATGATTGTTATCATGTGGAGCTGTTAAAAATGTGGCTGATTATTGTGTTGAGGCTGCATGTGAAGCCACTTCCTCAGGGGAGCGCTTATAAAACTAAGCCTCCCCACTGCATCTTTGTCCCGGAGTCCCACTGGGGAGGGGGTAAACCAAGCAAAGTGTCGGAACAGACTGAGCACCTGCACGCTTGATTTACTTCTAGTAATTGGACATGCTGTTTTTGACTTGGACAAAGTGATTACATGTTACCTATTCAGGGATTGGTCCTTCCAATCTGCAGCATGTGCAGAGACTTACACGTTCTACATGTTCTGTTGACGGTGTTGTGTATGAAATGCACACGCAATTGGAGCGGATTCCGGTATGCTTCAGTAAATGGTGAAAATGAATCACATTCGTGTCTCTCAGTGATTTATTTATTTATTTTGCCTCATCAAAAGGTTCAGAGGGTTCCTTTTTCTGTCGTGCAGCAGGAAATTTAAAATGCACTCACTCATCCGGCAGTCAGATGCACAGCTAAGGAGTGAAACTGATTGGCAATTAGTGATACCATTTGCATCTGGTCTCAGTGGGTAAAAGCCTAATCAATGTTGTGTCCACTGGTGGATTTCAAAAAGAAAAAGAAAAAACAAAACACCCCAATTACGTTAAGATGCTAATAGCTGTGAGTTTAGTGAGTTGGCAAAGGACAACCCAGTTTCCTCTGAGGGGCTCAGGTCTGTGTTATGTAAGGTCCTGCTGCTCCAGTGCAACAGGTGACAGCTCATGTATTAATAATGATTCTCCACATTCAGACTTCTAGTCTTTTCTGCTCTGAAGGAATATAAATCAGATCGCTAACGAGAGATCGGCCTTTACACTCTGGAGGACAGGGAAACAGCTGATCCGCCCTGTGCCGTGACGGTGAAACCACGCAGAAGTCAACGCAGCCGTGGACACAGCAAATTCCATGTGGTCATTTGTGGCTGCATGGTGTTTTATCCATGAGTCCAGTCACCAGTAAATTGCCTGTGCTCCGGAGAAAATCGGAGACCTCCGCCCCCAGCTGGTCAAAACTTCTCCACACTTAACAACTGCAAGTGAACTGCTATTGTTGGCAGTCTTGAAGCTGTCATTTTCAGCAGAACAAAGGTTATTGCAACCGATTGATAAAAATTTCATTCCCAGACAGAGGCTTTTATGTGGTGTACGGGGAGGGGAGATGTTATAAGATGTGTGTTCTGCCCCTGGCGTCCACCAGCTCTTCTCCTCCTGCCTCCTGTTTAAGTTCAAAATGATAATGAAAGCAGCGAGCAGCCAGCAGTCCCCCAGCACTCTGGTGAGCAAAGCAAAATCCACTCAGGACTCCTCTGGGCCTCTAATTGGGACTCTAAATCATTGTGTCACCTGTCACTCAATGCAAAGGATTGAAAGGGGGCGGGAGTGGGAGCCGTACGGCGGCTGTAATCTCTAGCTGAGGGGGGACAAGAACGGTGGAAGAGGGCAGCACTCATCTTTTAGAGCTGAACAATTCTAATGACGCCTAGTTTCAGAGGACAGACAAGGAGCACTCTGTCCACTACCAGATAGATTCCGTCCATGCAATGGGTCTAAAAGGAATGGCTGCTGGTCTCTTATTGGTGTTCTCATGATTATCGGAGTAATTGCTGCCAGCAGAGGGCCAGATGCAGCTATGAAGGTTTTTACCCTGTTATTTGTTGCTTCACCGCTCAAACTCTGACATGTTGCCATTCCTCTTGCTGCCAACCCTCACTTTGCTCTAAAGACGGTGCAGAAGGTGGTGTTTTCAGCTTTATACTGTAAGTTTCACATATGCATGCTCTGCACAAGTTAGGCAGGGTAAAAAAGGCATCGAAAGCCACAAACGTAGCCACATATCGTGATATAAAAGCACAAGCAGCCATGGGATTGTCTAATAAGGTGTTTAGAGTTTCACTTTAAGCATTTCAAGTTTTTGGTTTTTCTGGTGTCTGTCGAAGGTTTAAATATTTCAAAATAAATAAGCAAAGTTTTCTGTGATGACAAAAGTTTGAAATCTTGAGCACCAAAGGATTTATAACACTGAAACTAAATTATGAAAAACATGAAATTCAGTTTCACTAAGAGGAGATCTTAAACATATTAATAAACTCCTATTGGTTTTAATGGCTGTGCTTCTAATACACTGGCTTTGTGCTTTTACACATTTCCCTGCCCTAACTTACTTGATTCAATGATTGAATTACACGCTGAGCAGGTCATCAAGCTCTCCAGAACTCTGTTGATCACCTACTGAATAAAATCAGATAAGCTGAAGCTGAGAAACCTCTAAAACATGCTAGATGGTGGCCCTAGAGGACCAGGGTTGAACACTTCTGCTCTAATAGAGCACAGTTTGTGGTTCTAATTGATGCCAAAGCAACATATTTGCTGAGCTCCTTATAAATACCTTTTACTATTAGCAACTTGTAGCCGCCAGTATAAAATATTTATAAGCCTAAAATTCCCGTGACTCAGTTTCTGACAAGATAGGTATTTTATGCTTTTGATATGAATAAGATATCCAACAGAAACTATATGAAATATTTATTACTGATGAGACTTTTTGGTCTCTTGTGGTGATTTATCTCATGTGTTTATTGTTTCATCAGATAATAGATTGGAACAACACAGCTGGGTCCTACAAATATAAACAACTAGTTAATGCCAGCTAATCCAAAAGACAATTTAGAGTGTTGTAATGTCTGATTTTATTTTTCACAGAAATGACATTGGTCATTGGATGCATGGATGGATGAATGGATTGGTTGGTTGGTTGGTTGAATGGCTGGTTGGTTGGTTAGATGATTTGATTGATTGATTAATTTATTGATTGATTGATTGATTGATTGATTGATTGATTGATTGATTGATTGATTGATTAATTGATTGATTGATTGATTGATTGATTGATTGATTTTACATCGCAATCAAATGTTTGCAGATAAAATGAATGAAGACACACTTTTTTCCCCTTCTTATTGAACCATATCTCTATGTGTGAACACCGATGTCATACATGTTTTGATTTGGTGTTCTAAACTCAAAACAGTCTAGTTGTCGTCATCATCATCCTAATCACCCACAAATCAGTCATCACTGAAAAGGCCCCTTCTTAAAATGTAAATGTTTGTTTCATTCCGTTTATGCCAGCGTTGCAATAATTTGGGTAATCTTGTATGGACATTCATGGTTACAATGCAAATGTTGGGACAACTGACTAAAGACTTCTCACCTATATACAGAAGTAATGTGTTATTTACATCCTGGTCACAATGGCATCATCTGTACATCCATCAGAATAAATGATGGCTGATCCACTAAATGTACCACCAGTCGTTTTACAAGCTAAAGACCACTTCTCATGTAAAGGAACGTGTATTTAGGACAGAAATGTTCATTAATGTAGTGAAGAAGGTCAAAATGAAGGGCAGATTTATTTGTTGCTTGCTTGAAGAAGGATGGATGTTGATTTCTGGGTCTTGGATTCTTGCCAGTCTCTGTTTAGTAGAAAAGAGAGTTTCTCTAAAAAGAGAGCTGCAGAGGGAAGTAAGAGAAAGGGTGAAGCCGGGTTGCACGTCTGGAAGTAGGTGCTGTCAGAATATATAGACTGCATAATTGGAAGTTAGGAATGATTGCTTGAGGTGATCAGGTGTTTTCTCTCTCCCTCTCTTTCTCTTTCTTCAAATGCACTTCAAATTTAAAGTTATTTTTTCCTTTTCTTTGCACAGCAACAGCTTGACTGACCTACGTAAACAGTTCAGTAAACCATGAAAAGTGCAGTTAACCCTTTCCCTTTCTGTCTTTAGCCATCCGTTGCTGATGTTTTGCCCCTTGACTTTGCTGTTTCTCTTCCACAGGGTGAGGACTGTGATACAGTGTGTCCACCTGGTCTGTTTGGACAGAGCTGCATGTCCACCTGCTCCTGCCACAATCAAGCTTCCTGCTCACCAGTCGATGGCTCCTGCATCTGCAAGGAAGGTATACCTTCATTAACTCGTCAGAGGACTTCCACCTAAGTCCTTTGAGCTACAGTTTTAACATCACTGACTGAACTGATCTGAGTAGTTTGCTGCTTAATCTGAAAAGAATCCCGCTGCTGCCATCATTTGTTGTGGCAAATATAATAAGGGAGACATGAGACCCTAAATGTAATATGAAGAACTGTTGATGGTAAAATTCATTTTAGAAAGTGGCTGCCTTGATATTGTAAGAGAACGTATTTATAGAAGTTCAAAGCGCTAATTAGACACACAAGAACTCGAGTCTCCATCAGAGCTGAATAAGTGGAAAGAGCAGTTAAAATAAGCTCCAACACATACAACTTCTGCTGTGCAGGAAGAAAACACATCACAAAATCTAAAGTTTGCCATCCCTCCAGTGGTTACGCATTTTTTTTCACATTTTAATTGGTTTTTCAAATCAACTGTACTTGTTTTTAATCTCGTAACATACATAACATGTATTTTCTATAACGGTTCATTTGCCCTGCTTTTTTTAAAAGTCTCTTATGTTTTTAAAAAGGTTTGTGGAAAGTTAAAATGTATTTCCTAAAAACACGGATCAATTAAAAAGATTGAAGTTGAAGCGGCCCTGATAGTCCTTCCATAAACACACCTTGTAGTTTAAATATGACATAAACTAAATCCCTTATTACTGAGTGGAAATATACAGCAATTTCCCACCCCAATGATCTGGACAATGTAAATAATAATGTGAGATTTAATAATGAGGGCACTTCATATGTGTTTGTTTGAGAGTTTTCTCTTAGATGACCAAAGGAAAAGTTTTATTTAGAGATTAAGTCGACAAAGAGCAGGGGGAGTCTTTGGGTCTTAGAAATGAGGACAGTGCAACACAAATAATAAACCTACATGATACCTGATTGCACCATAGCACCATAAAATAAACAGAAATAAATATCTGGCTGTAAGAGCTTAATAATATAAAAGGTACTGATTTGTTCTTCTGTGATATTTAGTATTTGGGATTATGATAATTCATTTCTAAAGATTATATTCGTATTTATGTCACCCTACCATAATAATACTCTTACTGCGCTGTTACATAATAGTTTTGGGTTCTCATGTAATTTGTTTTCATCCACAGCGTAAAAGTGTGCACTAATGTTTTTGACTGTGTTTGTGGCTTTGTGCTCATTAGGAAAATATATGATATGAATGGATCGATGGTTAGCTTCCAATTTACGACACAACACAGTCGTCTGAGCTGATATCATGTTCTAGAATGTCTAAAACTCAATTTTACAGACATTAACTAAAATTATTTGTTGAAAAGGCTCAAAGTCTGCCCCATAAACATTCTCAGTGATACAAATTGAACAACATGTGGACTTAAACATGTTGTCATAGTTTTAGTTAACCTTGCTCATTTATTAGCAAATAATTTAACTATCTTGCAGATTTGAATGAAACTCACAAAATATGTTAATTAAACATAATGTAAATATGTTATTTGACCTAACAGCTTTTAAATGCATCCTTTCTCAGCATTAGATGATCTTTGACACAAAGACAGATGCTTTAATTACTGTTTTTATCCAGATACAACACATACACTTCATTGTAGTCCAAATAAATTACTATGATGTATTACATGATTTAAAATAAAAGTATTTTTGAATATGATTTGAGTTAAATTTATTTTCTTATGTTAGTTAAAACTTTGGGATTTCTAAGATATTTGAATAAATGTAACCAGTTTGGTGCTTTCTCCTATTTGAGGCTGGCAGGGTGTAGACTGCTCCATCCCATGCTCCAGTGGTACGTGGGGTCTGGGCTGTAATCAAACATGCTTATGCAGCAACGGAGCTGCATGTGACCCCGTGGACTCCACCTGCACTTGCTCTCCTGGGTGGAGAGGGGAGCACTGCGATGAATCCTGCCCTGTAAGTCTGAGACCTGCAGCCCATTTTTGGGTCACTGCTGAATGTGCAGCAGCTGTTTTTGCTTCGGATGTGTAACACAGAGATTATGTCATTGTCAGGATGGCTCCTATGGGTTGGAGTGTCGCGAACACTGTGACTGCAGCCACGCTGACGGCTGTGACCCTGTGACTGGATACTGCCGCTGCTATCCTGGGTGGACAGGTTGGTGCAGTAGCTTACCAAAATAAAAGTCTGAACTGGGAACAAAGCATGGAACAGCATCAGTGACTCCTCATCAGCTCTAAATTAAATACATGAGATATTAGTCAGGGACAGTGATTTATTAAAAGAGGGAAATTTGCCAGGGTTTGAATAGTACCGTGTGTTTACAGAATATCCAAGCAGTGTTTCATTAATTAAATGTTTGTTCTGCCACTGAGCCAGTCGAGTAGCTGGATGAGGGATGTTCAGAACAGTTTTGGCTCATAAAATGAATTCTGGCTGACATTAAACCTGTTTTTGTTAGTGCAAAATGACTTAGCTGTCAAACATATCTTTCATAAGTTCAGAATATTTTAATGCTCATTTATCAAAGATCCAAATGAGTGTAAAATCTGACTGAACCTCCTGCCAGATTCGCAATTATCAAAGACTCAGATTCTCAGCAGATTCACATAAATTAACTTGTTTTTCTCTGTTTCTCATCTTTTGAATGATTTGTGCACAAAACGAGAGGAAAGTGTGAATGACACAGCAAGGATGAGGATCATGTTGCTCAGAAATTAGGTGTAATTTCTGAATGTCAGACACAGGGGGGCAAGAGGACCTGGTCTCGCTAAGCTTACGTGGAGAGGAGCAGTCAGGGAGGGAAAAAGATTCAGGATGAAAAGGTCGAAACCTGCAAGCCCTCAGCATCCCACTCCACTCAGCCTCCTGAGCTTAGGGCATTTATTCCAGGAAACAATGTGGGTTTTATTAGCTGCAAGAACGGAGCCGACAAAATGGGACTCTCATGCTCTGAATCCTGCACAGGTCGGGACCATCTGTCAGCCTTAATTGAGTCACCAGGGTGCAGAGCTGGGGGCAGCGTGCAGCCCAGTGGGCCAGACAAACACGCACACGTACATACTTGAAGCACGGGGTAGAGGACTTTGTGGAATTTGTCTCAGGACCAAGTTAGGAATGGAAGAAAGTGGCTGTTTACAAAAAGTTGAATGTTTTGTGTGAATTTTGTCATATATGTGAATGTGCTCAGTTCAGGTTTAAGAACTTGCTTTTATTTTTGAAGTTTGTGGGAATCGTCAGGAAGTTGGGCTGGAGTATCTTCGTGCACGGGGCTGAGCTGTTGTTGCTGAGCCCGACAGAAAGGTGCTCTCTAACAAGCCACTTGCTAAATAGGACCCTGGCTTTTAGTTTTGATCCCAGTCCATGTAATGTTACTGTGAGTTTATATGCAGAGAGAAAAACTAAAGAGAGAAAGGTTTGCTGTTCTGTCTCCGTACAAATTGGATCGTGGGACCTTTGGCACTTCCTCAGCAGAAAGCTTTCTTTGAAGCAACCTCAGTTCAGGCTTCTCTCGGCCTTTCTTCTTCTCTTCCACCAGGCAACCAAAGCCCCTCTGTTTGTCGCCATTACTCTGAAAAATCTGATGCTCTGTCTGCACTCGTTTTCTAACAGCAAAGGCAGTCACCATTTTTTTTTTCTTTTTTCTTTCTTTCTCTCTTTTTCTCGGTTGGCCCAGCACAGCCTCAAACACTCGCACACATCTCACCCATCTTTTGATGTCCACTGCTCTGCTCCTGTCTAAATCACCTCTGCCCTCAACAACACCGACATTTCCTCTCCTTGACTCCTTCACTCCTGCCCTTAAAAGGCAGTGCTTACTGTATAACATTAGTCCCACAAGTTTAACCCGGTTTTAATTCAAAGATCTGCTTTAATGGCTACACCTATCTCTGATATTCTCATTCAAAGGAAATTTCAAATGAATCTGGAGCATGGCAGCGCTGGCGAGGTTGTTGAGTTCAGGTGTGTGTGTGTGTGTGTGTGTGTGTGTGTGTGTGTGTGTGTGTGTGTGTGTGTGTGTGTGTGTGTGTGTGTGTGTGTGTGTGTGAGAGAGAGAGAGAGAGAGAGAGACAGAGAGAGAGAGTCTGGGCACAGCTGCAATGATACACAGAAGCTACATGTCTGTTATGTGGAACTCTGTGTGCAACTTTCTCCTTTCATCTCACTTTTCTGAAAGGCTGAGAGCAAAACGTGCCACTCTGATGGATGTGCTAATGCATTCATGTGCACAGCGAGAACCGTGTATGGATGCAGCGTTTTTCAGTTGTTGGCTGGAGCTGCACCAAACACACTGTGACACTTCCAGTCTGGGATCTTGTAGCCCCAGTACCTCCCTCTGGCTCTGTACACAACCCCAGCTTTGCTAAAAGAGAATGAGAGACAAGCCTGGGATCTCTGGAGGCCCAACCCTGTTAATCAACACAGTGCTCTGGCAAGGAGCCCCAGTCAGATCAAATATAAAATACATTTGAAACGAAGAGATGGAGTGTGAAAGATGGGTTGGGCTAAAAAAGAAATGAAAACTTCTGACTGAGGATTCAAATCACACTGGTTGAATAACTCTGCACAGATCAGCTAAGCATTGTGAATGCTAAGCTGCAGTGTTGTGCTCTTACAGATGGCTGTTTGGAATGTTTCAGCGTGGCAGTCTTTTTGCCCCTTGTATAGTTTGCATTCACTGAATATTCGTTTTGTTAATGTGCCTGCAGGAATCCACTGTGATAATGTGTGCCCACAAGGCTTCTGGGGACCCAACTGTTCAGTCAGCTGCTCGTGTCAGAACGGCGGGTCCTGCTCTCCCGAGGACGGCACATGTGTGTGCGCACCTGGATACAGAGGCACCTCTTGCAAAAGAAGTGAGTCTTCCTCAATGCATCCCCTCTTGATCCAAAGCTTCGAGAAATAACTCCCTGACACAGAGAGCTGCTGCACAGTCACAAACTCCATCACAGCGCTGACCTTGTTTTGATCTTTGAAGAACTGTTAAAGGGTGAGAAAGCTGAGGAGAGGCCCTCAGCTGTCGGTCATAGTGGCTCGAGTGTAAACCTTCATCACAGCTATCACTTAATCACAGTGTCTTTAGCCCCACGGCATCCCTCAGACATACACTTGCGTGTAAACACACACACACACACACACACACACACACACTCTTCATCCTCCCACGCTGTCCTTAACAACCAGCTCACAGTGGGAAGTGCGGTCCTTGCCTGAGGCTCATCAGTGGGCATGCTCACTGGGAGCGCCAGCTCTGGTTTCTGAAAGGGGTCCGTCTGAAGTCGCTCTCAAGTGAGGAGCTCACTGATTGTGAACGAAATTCACAGCAACAAACCTGTAAACATCACTTTGAGTGGAATATAAGAGAGACAAGTGTGCGTGCATGTGTGTGTGCATGCATGTGTGTGCAGGTGTGCGTGTGTGCATGTGTGTGTGTGCATATGTGTGCAGATGTGCGTGTGTGCATATGTGTGTGTGTGTGCATGTGTGTGCATGCGTGCATGTGTGCAGGTGTGCGTGTGTGCATATGTGTGTGTGTGTGTGTGTGTGTGTGTGTGTGCGTGCATGTGTGTGCATGCGTGCATGTGTGCAGGTTAGAGTGTGTGCATATGTGTGTGCGTGCGTGCATGTGTGTGTGCGTGCATATGTGTGTGTGTGCGTGCATGTGTGTGCGTGTGATTGTAAATTCAATATTTACACAGGTAATTTGTTCATCAGGTATTATACCTTAGAACTCCAGCTTCGTCTGTGTGAGGGCTTTAATATATTTTTTTCGTCAGTGAAATTTTATATGAGGGATTACATGCTTCTCTAGAGGCTGATAATATGTCTCACCTGTTGTTTGAAATATAATCAACACCCACTGAGCAAACTTCACTTTGCCTGGTTGTCAAACAGCAGCAGCAACAGTTTTTATCCAGCGCTAAAAGATGTTTGTTAAGGAAACACGCAGCTGTCCCCTGCGAATACCAATATTAGAGAAGAAATCTTCTCATAATCACTACTTATAAAAAAGGAAATAAAAGACTGACCCCTGAGGGTCTCATCAGCTGCAGCCTCTTGCAAAATTGATGATCTGTATATGTAATTTTAGTGAAACAGCCTTTGCACCAGCTTTCAATATCTTTTGATTTACATTTTTTCCATAAGATCTGCAATCTAAACACATTAGGATGCTTCCCACTTTCATGGTACTCTTAGCTCATACTATTCTGCCCATGTCTGCAGATAACATGGCAGTGATTACAATAATGACTGACTTCTCAGCTCTCTCCCTCCCTTCACAGCCTCCCCTTGTCTTTTTTGCTTTGATTCCTCCGGCGTTGATTTATTTTTTTCCCTCTCCACTCCGTTGATCGTTCTTGTCATGCTGTGTCTCATAATTATATACCTCTTGTTCCATCAACATTGGTGACTGATTCCCTCTCGTCTCTCGCCATGCTCCGCTGGCTGCAGTCTGCTCTCCTGGGTTCTACGGCCACCGCTGCAGCCAGTCGTGTCCGCAGTGTGTGCACAGCACCGGCCCGTGCCATCATGTCACCGGTCACTGTGAGTGCCTCTCCGGCTTCACGGGCTCTCTGTGCAACCAAGGCGAGTAGTCATCTCTATCCCTTTGTCTGCACTTTACCTCAATGTTGATTTATTTACGTTTTTACCTACAATTGCAAAAGTTCTAAAATCATTTTTAGTAGAAAATATAATTCTTGCTTGTAAGTGCTGAAGAAAACCCTAAAAAATATTACTTCACTCTTTATTTTGTACAAAAACACAATATTTTAGGGTTCTTTTTTTTATCAGCACTCTTTCTAGATTTCGAACATAATGAAGATTTTATTTACTAGTTCCGAAAAGATGAACAAACAGCTTGTTTCTGCCTCTCAGGAGTCTTTGGTTTCAAACCATGAATAATAACAAGTTTCTGTTCATGTGGAAAAAAACCTTAGATTTCCAAAATGACAGGTTCTCGCTTCTTCAGACAAACACTATGTGAGTAAATTTTACATTCACTCTGTTTAAATCAGCAAAAGGGAACAGCATGTAACATTTAGTCATTAATATTCAAAGACAAAGAGGCAACATGTGCACATCTGTTCTTGTAAAATTTAATTTCAAGACAACCTGTCTTTTGTGTATTGTCTTTGTGATGATTTAATTACATAAGAGGGTCCTGTTGATGATGTGTGAGAAAGGAAAAGGGGAAAAAAAGACTTCTGAAATGATTTTGGAGCCTGAGTGTTGCTTTTGTGTTTAAATAAAGATGAGCTTTATTTGAAAAATAACCTTAAAGGGGACAGAGGGAATTTCATTCCATCTGTGGCTTTCTGAGCCAACAGATGTTTGAAATGTAGTGCACGAGGACTTCTGCTGCAACAGTTTGGCTAGAGGTTTATCTATATGAATGTTAAAAACAAAGAACATTGTTAGGCGTTGTGATTTTTTCCCATTTCTGATGGTTATATATTAAACATGTTGTCCACAAACTGACATCAGCTAATGAAAGTCCAAGTGACAACAGGTAAGTTTTCATGTGTTCTGTGGTGATCATAAAGCGCAATAAAAATTTACATTAGAAAATAAATTTAAAGGTAAAAAAAAGAATTCTGAATTCAATATCAGATATTTCATATCTGACTTTTACTCAGAATTTTGTTATTAATCTCTAGATTCTTTATGATTTAAAGTCAGAATTCTGAGAAAAAGTCAGAAATATGACTTTAATGTCAGATTTTGACTTTAATCTCTAAAGTCTAAAATGAGAAATCTGGGGAAAAAAAAGGTCAGAAATCTGACATTAAAGTCAAATATCTAAGAAGAAGTCAGAAATGTGACTAAAATGAGAATTTTACACAAATAAATCAGAAATTTGAGATTAAAGTCATAATTCTGAGATTAAATCAGAAATTTTACTTTAATCCAAGTCTAAAATGAGAATTTGGCTAAAAGAGTCATAAATCAGAGATTAAAGTCATATTTCTGAGAACAAAGTCAGATATCTGAAAGTAAACTCAGAAATCTGATTCTAATCTCTTAAATCTAAAATGAGAATTCTGCAAAAAGAAAGTCATAAATCTGAGATTAAAGTCATAATTATGAGATGAAGTCAGAAATGTGACTTTAATCTCTGAAATCTAAAATGAGAATTTGGCTAAAAAACTCTAATCTGAGATAAAGTCATATTTCTGAGAACAAAGTCAGATATCTGAAATTAAACTCAGAAATATGACTTTAATCTCTGAAATCTAAAATGCTAATTCTGTGTAGGGTTTATGAAATTGAGTGCTTTAAGAGCTCAATATATATTACCTCTACTTATGCTGTGATACTCTATATAATTATAGAATATCAACCTTGCTTGGTCTTTACTGAGTTCAATCAGAAGATTCTAGAATTCTTTGTTTTATTAGGGGATTGTACACACTTCGTTTTGATTCAGAAAAGAGTCAGGTTTATAAAAGTAAGAATTTATTTTACAAACAATAAAAACATGACAGGTTAACTAACATTTACTGTGATGGATGGAACTAGATGTGATGTATGAAACCTATGTGTGAATGTGATGTTATCAGAACTTCCGTATGTAGGAGAGCTGAGTTCTGGATGTAAAATAATTTGGTTTGCGTTAAGCTATGAAGTTGATTATTATCAAAAACACATCAGACACAATCTGTCATGTCTACATACCCACTCGAAGACCCTCGTGATAGATCCGGAATGTCGAAGTCCTCGGACTTCCAGGCACTGAGGTCCGTAGAAGAAACTGCGGCACTACTAGACCGGTCTTAGAGTTGTCTCCAGGTCACAACAAACGGATGGAACCGCGCGTCTGGTGGACTCTTAAGGAGTCGAAACAATATCAGCTTATTCTGCAGGAACTGCTTACTATATCAGCTTTGCAGGTACAAAAAGATTTTTGATGATGTTGGGGTTATTAGGTAGCGAATTATTAGTAAGCTTCTACTTACTTTTGGATTCTTCAATAAATTCTGTAAATATGGGAATATTTGCTGATTTATTAATTAATTAAGATATTCTTAGATGTCTTCGGGGCACCACCCATTCTAATTAGAAAGGGAAATGAATCCAAAACTCTTATCAGTCTATCTTAAAGATGCGCTGGAGTCCTAGGAGCAAAGATTTTACACCGACACAAAGAAGTTTACTGGAGACAAAAATCTGAATTTTATAACATTTAATTAAACAATTTGTCGAATGAATAAACAATGAAATAAATGAATAATAACCATGTGATATAATTGAAGATGTATATTCAAAATAATGTTCAAGGTGTTTGTGTGTGTGTGTGTGTGTGTGTGTGTGTGTGTGTGTGTGTGTGTGTGTGTGTGTGTGTGTGTGTGTGTGTGTGTGTGTGTGTGTGTGTGTGTGTGTGTGTGTGTGTGTGTGTGTGTGTGTGTGTGTGTGTGTGTGTGTGTGTGCGTGTGTGTGTTAGTGCAGTGTGTGTGTGTGTGTGTGTGTGTGTGTGTGTGTGTGTGTGTGTGTGTGTGTGTGTGTGTGTGTGTGTTTCTAAAATGGAGTCTGTATACAAGATGGCTGACCCCCTTGTCTGGCTAAAGTGTGGGTGGCAACTTGCACTTTAACCTCCAAAGCACTTAGAATCAGAAGTAACTTAACCTTAAATCACTCAAAACATTTCAAAGGATCATGAAGCTTCACCAAAGATTAATCACAATTAATATCTTTTAGGTTAACCGCTTGGCCATAGCAGAAACCATTTTAAGATACCAAACAATGCTCAATAAGCAGTTTATTCTTTACCAAAATGACCCGACGGACGTATTTGGGAACGAAAATGAGAAAACTCGTCTGGTAATTTGAAGCAACAGCGCGGTTTTATTGCTTATTCTAAACTATAAAGGAAACGGGAGAAGGGAGAAGGAGAGAGAGAGGAGGAGAGGAGTTTTCTGATCACCAGAACAGCGAGGCGTCCCTCACTGTTTGATTTGACGGTTCTCCGTGGTTTTCTCCGCAGTTCGGCGTCGTCCGTCGGTTTGATGGCTTTCCCCGCTGTTTTCGGCGTTCTCCTTGAGTTTGATGGAGTTGCTGTTTTCCAGCCCGGTTCTGTGTTCTCCCCCTTCAGCAGCTAGGGCAGCGAGCGGTTGAACAGATCTGATGGGCTTGTAGCTTAGCTTTCCAGCAGTTCCGTGAGCTCCACTTGAGCACTTAGACGTCCCGCGTGCTCAAGTTAGTCGGAGCGTGCAACGAGCGTGTCCTTACAGCCAGTGATACTGGGCAAAAGAAACAATAAGGACGTTGTTCCGTTATAATTTATAGCCTTCGGAGTTGGCGGGAAACTCCATGAGCTCCCGCACATGCGCAGAACGTGTTTCTGGAATTAGGCGGTGACGTCTTCACATTGCTTCCGTGTGCAAAACATCATGGGAAATGAAGTGTCTTTTGGCGCTGATGTTTAATATCTGCTTTTCAAAGCAATTTAGCACCGTTTGTGGAAAAAATTACTGCAGCAATTTCTCACGAGGGCATACCCTCAACAATGACTTGTCAAAAGCTTTGATGGCTTAAAAAGGTTTTGCTTCAGATGGCCGTCTGAAGCATTTCTCAAGAACTGATGAATCACCAGAGTGATCCAGTTTTAATGTGCTCATGTTATGATTTGTGTAGCCAACCAGAGGTTGACAAGTTGAGGAATATTACCAAGACAACTCAGAAACACGCCTTCTTTGATCCAGATGCTCTGATCTGGGGTAAAGGGCTATCTATATGTCACGCATTTAACTTTACTTTACTTTGTCCTTGTGTGAGTGCAAATGGTGATGACCTTGTCATATCAACATGCTGAAACATATATAAACCTTTCAATGTAATCATAACATAACATTCATTTCAAACTTCAATCATTGAGCACAGATTACTGAAAACATGTCATTATATTATAATTATTATAAGTAAACAAACTTTTATTTAATGATTATCTAGCTTATAAGTTTTAGAAGCTGCGAGTGTTCCTTATTTGGAGGCATGAAGAGTCCTGCAGGAAGATAAGGGTAGCTGGACCTTGAGGAGAGAACATTATTGTTGATATTTCGTTATCACGTGTTCAGAGCTGCAGAGAGGCTCTGAGCTCCAGCTGATGGGATGAAGGCAGGCCGATTTAAAGGGAACACATGCAGTCTCATGTCTCCATTTTGACCAGATGTTGAATGGTCAAACTAAAAACTGACCATTGCTGGGCGTTACATCTGCGCACAAAAAAAAATCTGAATTCTTAGACTGAGGCCTAGTCCACACGTAGCCGGGGTTTTTTGAAAACGAATATCCGCCCCTCCAAAAACTTGCATCCACACCACCGCGTTTTAAAAACAAACTCTGTCCACACGTACCCGGATAAATACGTTGTTAAGGACATGCCAGACCTGTAGGCGGCAGTACTTCCCCCGTTCTTAACCTCGTCCTTCGTCTGTGGTCTTCCGCAAGGAGCAGTAATTCCACTTGCAAAAACAAACAAGCAGAAAGCGCTTGGACAGTTGATGGATCGGGTAGTGACAGAGTGCAGCTCAGAGGGCTTCAGATGCCGGCTAGTGTAAACACAGGTCGCACACGTGATGTCAGCATTTTTTGTCGCGGAAAGTGACGTTGCGGACCTTAAAACTCCGGTTTTGTCTGTCCACACGCAGACACCCAAAACGGAGAAAACGCAGATCTTCACTTTGGCCGGAGTTTTTAAAAAGATCCGTTTTCGTGTGAAAAAACTCCGTTTTCGTGTGGATGACAGGCCAAAACTTAGAAAATATCTACGTTTTGGCAGATCCCCGGCTACGTGTGGACAGGGCCTGAATTTCGAATTCTGAGATAGTCAGATTTCTGACTTTAAACTCAGAAATCCAATATGCAAATTTTGCAACAACAAAAGTAATAAATTGGAGATTAAAGTCAAATATCTAAGATGAAGTCAGAAATGTGTCTAAAATGATAATTTTACAAAAATAAATCAGAAATTTGAGATTAAAGTCATAATTCTGAGATTAAATCAGAAATTTTACTTTAATCCAAGTCTAAAATGAGAATTTGGCAAAAAGAGTCATAAATCTGAGATTAAAGTCATATTTCTGGGAACAAAGTCAGATATTTGAAATTAAACTCAGAAATCTGATTCTAATTTCTGAAGTCTAAAATGAGAATTCTGCAAAAACAAAGTCATAAATCTGAGATTAAAGTCATTATTCCGAGATGAAGTCAGAAATGTGACTTTAATCTCTGAAATCTAAAACGAGAAGTTGGCTAAAAAAATCAATTCTTAGATAAAGTCATGTTTCTGAAAACCAAGTCAGATATCTGAAATTAAACTCAGAAATATGACTTTAATCTCTGAAATCTAAAATGCTAATTCTGCGAACAAATTCAGAATTCTGAGATTGAATTCTGAGTTATGAGATAAACTCAGAAATCTAATATGCGAAATTTGCACACAAAAAAAGAAAAGAAAAAAGGGGCAGAAGTCTGAGATTAAAGTCAGAAATTTGACTTTAATCTCTTAAATAAAAATGAGAATTTGGCTAAAAATGTCATAAATTTGAGATTAAAATCATATTTCTGAGAAAAAGTCAGATATCCGAGATTAAAGTCATAAAGCTGACCTTAATCTCGGAAATCTAAAATGAGAATTTGGCTAAAAACGTCAAATCTGAGATAAAATCATATTTCAGAGAACAAAGTGAGATATCTGAATTTAAACTCAGAAATATGACTTTAATCCCTGAAATCTAAAATGCCAATTCTGCAGAAACATTCCGAATGCTGAGATTGAATTCCAAATTCTGAGATAAAGTCAGATTTCTGACTAAACTCAGAAATCTAATATGTGAATTTTGCAAAAAAAAAAAGAAAAAAGAAAAAACTGACTTTGATCTCTTAAGTATAAAATGAGAATTTGGCTAAAATTTTTATAAATTTGAGATTAAAGTCATATTTCTGAGAACAATGTCAGATATCCGAGATTAAAGTCATTAATCTGACTTTAATCTCTGAAATCTAAAATGAGAATTTGGCTAAAAAAGTCAGAAATATGAGATTTAATCTGAATTTTAAGGAAAAAAGACAGAAATCCAAGATTAATATCAGAATTCTGAGAAAAAAGTCTGAAATATGAGACTGAATTCAGAATTATTGTTCTTTTCTTCTCAGTGGCCCTAATCCTCTTCCGTACTAACATACTGTAGATTTTCACCATTTTTTAATAAATTACAGAAAGGCAATGGAGAATTTTGGAATTCTCTTTCAAGCCTTTAAGCAGCGTCTTTATAAATAAAAGTTTAAAAGCGGAAAGAAAAGAAGTGGAGAAAAAAAGTAAAGATGAGAGCTGGTCCTGATTTGTCGTGGCTATAATTACTGTTGAGCAGACATCAAGTGATGAGGGAAGAAGGTGGCCGACAGCACGTTGGCATCCTCACTTGTCCTCTGTCCAGCACACAAAGTCCCAGCCTAATGAAGTTCTCCTGCTGAGGGTTGAATCCCCAGAAGAAGCACGAGGGAGTCAACCTCGTGGCTTAATGACAACCTGCTTGAAGGAGCTTTAAAGAAATCTCAAGAGAACAGAAGGGGGTGCCGGTTTAAATCTAATCATTAAAATCGCCCCACAGAAAACTGAGTCTGACCCGTCTCTTTCTCTCAGTGAGCCACCCTATCAGATGTTTCTGACGCGGGACTATTCTCTATTTATGAGAGCTTTAATCTATCTGCTGGTGCTGCTGCCGCTCCCTGATCTTGACAGTTTCTTACACCTTGATGTGATTCGTCCCAAAAAAAAAAGGAGAAAAAAAATACAATAGAGGTTTCTGTGGAAATTATATATTTTATGGAATAGTGCCGGAGTGTATTGAAATATTAATTTCATAAAATATTTATACAGTGGTCTGTGTACACGGTCTATTTTAATTCTGTGGCGCATCACTCATTCCTGTCTAGTGGGAGGAAATAGGGCAGTTCTGCCACAGGAGGCAGTGATTAACGCCTCCTTTTGTCTAAACAGATCACTTCACTACATGTCCACTGAAAAAGAACAGTATCATCCATTAGTGTAGATGTTCACCCAGCCTGTCATGGAGTGAGTTTGTTTGTCTAAATGTGCTCTCAGCAACGAGCCCAGGTTTCATGTCACAATGTTAATAGCTTTTCTGAGTCTTTGGCTTTATTAATCATATGCAGATCAGGTTTAATTAGCAATAATTGTTTTTTGTTCTGTTTCATAGTGTGTTCAAGCGGCAGGTACGGCAGGACCTGCGCTGAGATCTGCCTCTGCACCAACAATGGCACCTGCAACCCCATCGATGGCTCCTGTCAGTGCTTCCCCGGCTGGACGGGAGAGGACTGCTCACAGGGTTTGGCTTCACTCCTTCATCTTTATTTCGCATCATCCCCCCCATCATTGTCTGTCCACCCACCCCTCTCTTCTCTCTCACATTTACCTTCATAAACATTAGTCACTTACTTGACCCTGCAGATTAATAAGAACGGCCCCCAGCTCGGGACAAGGCAAAAGCTCGCCTAAATGGTTTTTGTAATGCATTATGCTCTTTGATTTACTACACTTAAGGCTAAAGATCATTAGTAGAACTTTCAGCTGCCACGCCACGGGGAAGCGATGTGTATTTTGTGTGCATGTAAATCCTAAGTACCCACCCATTTGCAATGTAGATAGAACGATGACCGGATTTTTCATACCATGAAAAATATTCAAAAACGTGTGTTTGGAGCATCACGTGTGCATGTCATCATGAGAGAGTGAGTGTGACCCTAGCTTGACTGTGTCTCTGGCGTCTGCAGCCTGTCCCTCTGGGCACTGGGGCCCTGATTGTCTCAACTCGTGTAGCTGTCACAACGGAGCCCAGTGCAGTTCCTATGACGGGGAGTGCAGGTGCAGCCTCGGCTGGACTGGTCTCTACTGCACACAGCGTGAGTCCCCCCCAACCTTTCCCCTCAACCAGTAAACAGACACACAGTGTCATCTACTGGCTGTCCAGCAGAACTGCAGTAGATGACAAGACAAGACAGCAAAAGCAGTTTGAAGTTTTTAACCCCTCCAAAAGTTTTTGTTTGCTATTTTTAGAGAAAGAAACATAAAAATGAAGCTAATGGTCACTTCATCATTTTGCTCATAACGCATTCCAGTCATTTACTCGCTGATAGTGCAGCTCATCAACATCAGTCGTGTAATTTGAATGCCATTATCTATTACCCCAAGGGTTTGTTCAGTAGCGTTGGCTTTGTGCATGAAAACACTCCTTGTTTTAGCGGTTTTCTCCTCACTTCCCTCACGTAGATTCCCACCTTTCCCAGTTGTGTTGCTCCTTTGAAACAACTGAGTTATGTTTACAGCACAACTCCATTTTCTGCTGAAGCAGGAAATCTTTCATTTCCATTCACTCACATTGTTCCTTGTTGAGTATGCAGCAGAGACATTGAATGGTATTGATTTTCCTTACTCTCTTGCGATATGACCTTGACTCTTTACATTGTCTTCCTCTTTTTTTTCTTCCTTTTTTCCTCCTCTTCTGCTGAAATATATACATCTCTGTCCAGGCTGTCCTTCAGGGTTCTACGGCAGGGACTGCGCCGAAGTGTGTCGCTGCCAGAACGGCGCGGACTGTGACCACGTCACCGGCCAGTGCGTTTGCCGAACAGGCTTCATTGGGACGGGCTGTGAGCAGAGTTGAGTAGCACATTTTAGCTCAAAAGCAACATTAACCAGTGGAAGAGTGTGTATGTGCTCTCTAAACACTTTGGCACCTGTTCAGTAAGGGCTTTAATTTTGATAGATGTAGTAATGCACTTGTCTGCCATGCAGAGTGTCCCGCTGGTACATTTGGGTACGGCTGCCAGCAGCTGTGTGAGTGCCTGAACAATGCTACTTGTGACTATGTGACTGGAACATGCTACTGCAGCCCTGGATATAAAGGCATCCGCTGTGATCAAGGTGAGAGGGGGCCGAGCCGGCTGACACTTTCAGGCGCATTTGCGTTATTGTTTGAATTACCCCACTCTCTGGGTTTTTTGTGTAGCAGCTCTGATGATGGAGGAGCTCAACCCGTACACCAAGATTAGCCCGGCACGAGGCTCGGAGCGCCAGTCGGCAGGGGCCGTCATGGGCATCATCTTCCTCCTCCTCATCATCATGGCCTTGCTCAGCCTGTTTGTATGGTACAGACAGAGGCAGAGGGACAAGGGCCATGAAATTCAGCCCAGTGTGTCCTACACACAGGCAATGCACATCAACAACGCTGACTATTCTCTTTCTGGTGAGAAACATTTAAAGAGCAAGTCACCCCCAATCAACTTTTTTTCTGAGAAATTATATAAATGCGTGTATAATCATGCTGCAGACATGTGTAGTCATTAGTTTAGCACTTTAGTGCATTTTAGTTAAAATTTAAATTTTCTGTCTAAAACTGTCAGTGTTGTGCCGTTGTCAGGTAAAACCTCTGCACTGCATTTGAATTTAAATCTGCCATCGCTAGTGGCTAAGAGGTACCCTAGAACGTTAGCTGGTACCATATGATGTCACAATGTCGTTATGAGCCTGTGTGTGTGTATATTTGTTAGCGGCTCCACCCTCTCGGTCTGCTAGACAACAGCATTTGATGCATTTTTCAAACAGGAAGTGGGAGTGGAGTAACACTCTGGTAGGGGATGACTTGGTCTTTAAAGAAACGATGTGGGTATTTTGAACTGGGATGTCCAAACCCTCGTTAAGCCCTCGAGCTGATGGAAACAGAAAAACACTCGGGCTTGCACGTGACTTCTGACCTTAAATGGGCCACTGACACTTCACTGCAAATGCTCACCATAGAGCCTGTTTAATGATGAGGATTGAAAATCCCAGTTTCAGTGCAGTTGTTGTTTTAATCAGTGTATGGTGGATATCTTCAGTCTGCTCTGAGGCTGACAAAAAGGTACTGCAAAGAGTGAACAGATCTACTCAAAAATCAGCAGCCTACCTTCTGTTGAGGACTTACACACCAGCAGATGCAGAACCATAGCAAAAACACACAAAAACAAAAAAAAAAACATTTTGGGGTGTTTAGTGATAAATTCAGTGTTTGTTTTGTGTCACTAAACTAACACCTTCCATTCTTCCATGAGTGTGGTGTGCTGCTGAATGACAATAATGATTTAATCTTAATATAATAGCAGCTGTTGTACACAGCTCTTTGAAAACGTTTTGAGAGAAATAGGTTAGTTCTGATCAGATTGACAAGCTAATGACTAGGTAAATTGAGTTATGTTCTGAAGCAAAATTGCTGCCATAATAAAGTCTTAGATTTAATAGCTGCTTGTGTCTGTAAGCCAAACCATTATTATTTTTACATTTGTGGAGAATTCCAGCAGAATGTTTGTGAAAACTTTCGACAGAAGTGCTAAACATAGCTAGCTCTGCTGCTAATTTCTCTAAATAAACATAGAATTTGTACATATATACGTATAGCAAAATTCATGACTAAGGTTTATAAAACAGTGTTTTCATTCATATTTACTTTTATTTAATTTGTTCTAAGTCCAGTTTGAGATTATGAGTCTGACACTGCAGCAACCTGCTGTTATTTTGTTGATCTGGAAAGAACTATTTTATTTTTCTCCAAATTAAGGTTTTAGGTAAGAGGCAAATGCTTCATGTCTCAACAGAAACTCAATTCAAAACTATCTAAAATGCTTCTTTTTACATTTTATGGCTGAACTATTTATTTGTTAATTACAGCACTGAGCGTAACTCAATGAAAGTTATGCATTATTTGTAAAATGTTGTGTAAACCATTACTTTTGCAGATTAATGTGACATTTATGTCTCATCTTGTGAACCCTCAGAATGTGGCAGCACCGTAGCGATGAGGACCGGCGGTTCGGAGATCAGTCAGAGCCAGAACAGCAGCACCAGCAGCGGACAGTGCTTTTCCAACCCCAGTTACCACACTGTAGCCCAGTGCAATGTAGTCTCAACCATCTCCAGCAACCTGGACGGCACTCTGACGCTCAAAGTACGACTCACCACATTCACTGTTTCCTTTTTCTCCATAATATGGATTACAACACAGTTATCTTCTGTCATTGTCTTTCTGCAGTCAAGTACACTGAAGAGCAGGAATGGCTCTGAATGGAGAGCCTACTGCAGTCGTAATGACATAGGTCAGTAATACTCTCTTTTTTATATCACACCACATGCAGGCAGGATTTGGACTTGGGAGCAGAGACGAGGAAAATTGTCAATTCAAGGGCAAAGACGGAAGTGTCATTAATGCAGACCTTTTATTGGCACCAGTCTGCTGTGAATGAGGATGAACCAGGGGTCTCTTGTTAAACATGACCTTTGCCCTGATTTTGATAAGATATGCTGGTGGGACAGAGAGAGTTCTGGTGCAGAGATGAATACGGGTCACTGTGAGCTCATTAGTCCTCCCATGCCTTCCCCAGTGGCTATGATGGTTTACGCTGGGTCAAACACTGCACACTTATGATGTTAATTACAGGGAAATCTATAGAAAAGTGAGAGCATTTCAATTATTTATTAAAGAGATGTAGAAATTGTGCTTGTATGTTTTAAAAAATTCTACTTGGTTTTCTTTGACTGGATTTGAGCATTTTTCTTATAAAGATTTGAGGTTTCATTCCTTGCCCTTATCAAGAATTATTGAAGTTTGTGCATAATTTTTCTCCTAACATGGGGTCACCCTTTCTAGGGCTTTTGTGACTGTGTAGCTCTAGGTCATCTTAACCGTCTTGTCAGAGGGTTTGCTTTAAGTTGGGCATAGCTTTTTTTTTAAGTTATGGGCCTGTGATTGATGCAAACTCCGTTTATGAAGTTCTTTGCACAAAATCTCTCTAATAAAGAGATTTGAGCAGTTTTATTGTTGACATTTGCCGTTTCAGAGCTCTGTGATCTATAAGAAAACAAGCTGGTGCTGGCCACGCCCACCCACCCCCCTGCTTAAGGTGCTATAAGCTGAGGAGCTCTAATATCTGGGAAGGGCTCAGTGTAGAGCCGCTGATCCTCCAGTACCATCAAGTGGTGTGCGTGTGTGTGTGTGGGGGGGGGGGGGGGGGGGGGGGGGGGGGGGTCATGCTAATATCCCTTCTTGTGATGTCACAAATGGGGACTTTTTTTAAATGACTTGTTTTAAAGCTGTTATAGCAAATCCACCCTGGGACAGTATGACAAAGGCGATGCTGCCATTTTGTGCCATCGGCCCCTCTGACCACCACCAACACTGACAAGTTGGGTGAAGTATCTTGCCCAACTGCACAACAGCAGTTTACCCTGGCTGGAGCTGGGATCAATCCCACAATCCTCCGATCACAACAAGCCACTCTACCTCCTGAGCTACGGCTGCCCTTTTAAACTGCTAACTTTATGTTTTAAATCCTTTAAATCCTAAACAGCCAAGGAAAGTAGACGTTCCTTTCTATAGCAATGATGAATCTTGGATGAGGCTCTATATGTACAATATTTATCTTTCTCCATGTAACGTCTCATTTTAACCAACGAGTTACAGATATGAGGTTTGAATGAACATTAAAATGAGACTCTCTGGGAGAGGTTTTTAATTACTTGGATGTTATCTTGATTAAGCTAATTACTTTACATATTTTTATAACATCCGTCTTGTATTTTCTTCCCTTTGCAAAAACCTTTTTCACTGTGAACTAGTGGAGTCGAAATACGTAAGATTTAAAAATAACCTTTCCAAGTTGATGAGCATCGGCGGCTTTTACACTGAGGTCCTTCAGAAGTCTCTTTGTTTCTGTGATACTGAAAAACTCATCAAACACGTCTGAAGATCACGCTTTGATAGATCCTTGTTTCTTAATTAAATCAGGTCTCCCACTCAAGCCTGATTATGATCCTGCTGTTTATAAAAAGCACCTGAGCCTGATTTTGATTCAAATGAAAGGCCAATAATGAAATAATTACACTTTCGTTAATAAACGCCTCTTGTATCATAATTTTTATTCGTATTTAAAGGATCGTTAAAAATGAGAAATATGGAAAATCTTCAGAAATAGTTGATAAAAACTAAAAAAATTATGATATTATACAATAAAAACTTGCATGTATTTGGGTTTTTTTAAGGTTTGTTTTAATGTGAAAATTGTTCATTCTGAACAGGAGGAATGGATTAAATCAGAACCATGTCATCTATTTGTGTTCATGCTTCATTTAGAATTTTGGACGATTCGATTCATTATTTCCAATTTGTGTTCAAGCGTGCAACAGATCAGTTGTGCTCAAAATGGCATGAGCCTCAGCGTTCCTTTATTATTGTTATTGTTTAGTAAATTTCCAATTTTTAAGACTGGTGAACTATTTAATAAATCTATACTCCTCAACTCAAATATCGTGAAAAGTTCCTTGTTACTTACTTAGTTGATGTTCATGTATTTGAGGGACTTTAAATAACTTTTCTTGTGTTTTATATGTTCTCCTAGAAATTCAACAGGTCGAGCCAAAGGCACAAAGAGCCTCAAGAAAAGGTAAGTTTAGGAAACGTCTCTTCCTGCTCAGCGTCACCAACATAATCGCAAAATCGTTGCACGCTTTACAGCTTTGCTTTTCCTTTGTTGTTTTGTTTTCCCTTCTGATTTGACCATTTATTCGACCCAAAATGTCACATTTCCAGTGATTTATGTGAAAACTCTCTGCACTCTGGACAAGCTCGTGGTGGGCTGAGGGTTTTTATTCCAACAGTAATTGCTTTCTATGGCTCACTGCCTGATACGTCATTTTGTCTTCCACACTGTGCAGTCGATGGTAAATGTGAGGGACCCAGGGGTGTGAAGAGGGCTGTGCCGCGGTCTCTAATGAGGCTTCTTATCAGATTGATGAGACTGTTATAGATGAGATGAGCCTTCCACTCGCTCCCCTTTTGTACTCTGATTACTACAAACCACCATTACTCACCTGCCAGAGACAAAAAGAAATCCAGCCTCAGCTTCATTGCCATTCTCTCGGCCGTACTCTGATATCTTTTTAAATTCCTGTATAATACGACCATTACACGTCCGTGACAGCCACTTCATCTTTGTTCATACCGCATAAGTCTTTTGTCCTGCTGTTTCTGCAGATTACATCAAAAGCTCCATGTGCAGCAACAGCTCCTTCTCCCTGAATAGTGATAATCCATACGCCACCATTAGAGACCCACCGGGGTTGGCCTGCAAGCACACAGAGAGCAGCTATGTGGAGATGAAGTCCCCATCCCACCGCGAGGTGCCCTTCGGAGGCACGGCCACCCTCCTGGGCACCGTGAGCAGGAACGTTTATGAAGTTGGTGAGTTGTTGATGCTCAAGTATGGAGCCATCAGAGCTCTCTTTTCTCCTTTGTCCTCCTTTATAGATGACTCGTGTCCATTTTTGTCTTCCTTTTCCAAACGTTTGACAGAGCCGACTGTGAGCATCCTGCAGGGACCCAATGGAATGGCCACTGGCTTCTCCCAGACGCCCTATGACCTTCCCTGTAGCAGTCACCTCCCAAGCCACTATGACATTCTGCCAATGCGCCACAGTCCCACACATTCGCCCCCACCGCCCCCAGAAAGCCCCAGCTCCTTGCTCTAAAAGGCACCCCCATTTCCTCCCTTTCTTCCCAAATGTTCTGGACAACTCAACTTTCAGACAATAGCCCTCCCTACGTCTCCATGCGCGTGCTCAATTAGATACTAAGAGGCCATGATGGAGAGACGACCGCGGCTCCTCTGGATCTCTGGCTCTCTCTCTCTGGGCCCCTGAGGGAGAGAGAAGGGGGAGGAAACCATGTCCCACACACCAGCGACTATTCACCCATTTTATCTTCATCTATAGCATTACTCAAACTGCTGCCTGGACTTTTTATGGGTCCTCCTGAAGCGGGACATTATGCTTCAGAAGCAGTATACAGGAATCGAGTGGGCTGTTTATTTACAGGCAGAGCTATCCTCACGCTCATATTTATCCCATGATTTATGTTTATTATTTTAAACCAGCCAAGTGTTTATAATCTCCCTTACACAGAAGTGATTGTCCCCTTCAGGAAGAGAGGTATCACAGCCTTGACTGTCAAAGTGTGCAAAGATTCAGATCACAGTGTGAACTGCTTCTATCCAGAAGCAATGAGACGTTGAGGCAAAAGTAAATGTATTAATCTGTCCTGAATGTTAGATTTGGAAACTGGGCTGAGAGAGAAAGCATGGATCAAAAGGAAACTGTTGTAATGGTTCTGTATTCACTGTTATTCAGTAAAGATCACAACGCTAATGCTAATGTAAGCAAAGTTTTGTTGTTAATGAGGCCGTGTGTGTTTGGACATGTATTCAGGTCACAAAGTGTTCATGCATTTTTTACAAAAACACAATCAGTAAAGTTTATTCTTGTTTTGTTTTGTTTTTTCCACTGGACTGATGAAGTGTTGCAAACATGTGTTGTTTTCCACGTGAAAGCATTTTTTAAATTGTTTTTTTCTTGCAAACATCTCAGTTTACATGTTTTAAATACTGGATGTTAAGAGCTGGTTGCTTTGATCTTTTATGGTTTGTATTTATAAAGTTAATTGCTTTGCATACATTATTAATTTATATTACTTATTATTTATTTTTTAATCAGTGTGACTATAATAATAAAAAAGATGAGCATGATCAGATAACGGATACCCACTGATGTAGATAACACGATTTATCTTCTCGTGAGATTAGCTGTGTCATTCTGTGAGCTGTTTAAAATGTTCTTTGTCAAAAATTGTAGATTAAAAAAGCAGTATTTTTCATCTGACCAGTTTAAGACCCAGCAGCATTTATAAAGCCAACCATTTGTAAAAATCTGCATTTTCTGTTTGTATCGGGCTGATTAACATCACTGTGTGACTCCCATCTCACCCTCTGTTGAAGCAATAACATGTTGACAATCGATGCACAGAAAACATCCCATTAATGCCGGACATCACGCCATCCTTGAACATTGTGGTGACAGTTGATCATACCTTATGTGACTGTTTATCCTTTGAGGATGCTTTATTTATTTGTTTTCTAATTGCTGTCAATTAAAGCTGGTTGTTGTTTTTGGTACTTACATTTCTTTCAAATTAAAAGCCTATTCTGCCATCAGAAACCAGTCTCAGGTTCATCCGTAACAGATGATAATACATATTTGGTAAAAATCTCACTCAGAACATTATTATTAAACTATTTTATCCACTTCTGATGCTTTGAGTAATTTGTGAGAGTCAAAGATTCATAAAATACACCAAAAAAACATCCTCCATCAGAAAAACATTAGCAGAATATATATTTTATTTAATCTCAGGAACACAATGAAGTTTGCGTTCTGTCTTATTTTTTTAATGGCCTACTTTGACTTTTTTTTCATAGATTTTATTCTGGAAATAGTTTAACTTTCTTTGAAAAACCCCAGCGGACATTTTGAGTTTAATCTTGACATGTCGTCTTTTTCCCCTTCATGGTTTTGCATGGAAAAAGGACTCCACGAGGTATAAGAATACATTTTTTTAATTCAAAATGTCAAGAGAAAAGTTGGTCTTTTTCTTTCCCGGTTGTAGTGTTGTTTTCCATTTACGGTACAAAAAGCTAAGCTAGGATATTTTTCAAGACCAGCCCTCACACAATCCTTTAATTTTCTAACGCTTCTACTCTTTGTGCACAAAGAAAATGCTGAAACAAATGTTCCTATAAAAATATGACATATTAATTCATAAGTTCCAAAATTTTTACATGAATTTCATTCTCTGCTTTAGCCCTCACAAACTGCTAGGTGTATGATAAAATTCACAACTGTGGAAAATTTTAAAATTATGATAAATAAATGTTTGTGCGTTATGTTCAGAGGAGTTGTTTGGGGGGGGGGGGGGGGGGACTGTAGCTGCATTGGAGTGTCACGAATCGGCATAAAAATATCATTTGCTCCCTTTGTAGTTTTTGTGTAATGACATATTTTCAAAAAATAAATTAGTCTGTGCACAAAAGAACTAAAACAAAACTTCCTCAAATAATATTTCATAAGTCACAATTTTTTACATGAATGTCATCCTTGGTTTCAGTCCTCACAAAATATATTAAAATATTTGTGTGTTTCTGAGATTTAATCCCTTTATTATCCCCTTTATTGCCAGGTAAAGGATCAAAATCAGAAATGTAAACAAATGAAAAAGTTTTATAATATTTTTGTGTGTGTTATTTCCAGGTGATTTGTGGGTGAGCTTTCAATACCTTGGAGTGTCACAAATTGGCATAAAAATATTTTTATTTTTTAATTTGAATGCAGTATCAGTCCTGCTGGATTTGAGAAAAATGTGCAATTTAGTGTAAAAACTATAAAATCCTAAAATTGAGTCTGTGACTGGTCTGGGAACCCAAATATAATAATAATAATAATAATAATAATAATAACATTGTAGCTTGTTAGAATTTTTTTACATGGGAGTCAATGGCACAAGAACATGACGAAGGAGCAGGAATGTAATAAAATAATTTCAAAGTTATATTAAATGTAGTAGGTTATTTATTTGTTTGTTTGTTTGTTTATTTATTTGTTTGTTTATTTGTTTGTTATCATTTCCCCAAAAATACACATCCTGTGGAAAAAAAAAGATATTGCATTAGCATAGTTCAAATTATTCACAAAAACAATCCTGTCTATGCAAACTAATGCACTAGGAGTGTGTAAGAGCTAGACAGAAAAAGCAAACCCTGTTCTTTTTTATTTATACATTTTTATCTGGAGGGGTTCCACAGCAGGACTCAAAAACAGCACTCAGTCTTTCACATTAGGAGCCTCAAACATTTAGCTGTAGCTCAAAACATTTGATTCCCATAAAATGTTACATGATTATGATTCTCCAGTAAAAGTCAAGCTGTGGTTTTTGTCAGGTTCAGGAGCAACAGGGTTTAGGCTATTCTTGAAAATGTCCTGGTTTGGCCTTTTTGATCTTGACTTTTTGACTTTAATCTTGACATTTCCACCTTTTTTATTGATTTTTTGGTAGTTTTTTATTTTTATCTTATTGGCACTAATATGCCCATTTCTTAGAGGACTTGGAAACTTGGCATTTTCAAATAGACCTTACATCTTTCTAATTTAAGAATGGAGACTCTTATTTTGACCTGACTCGGGTTGCCATTATAAAACTAAATCACACCAAAGTAAACATTCAAAATGAAAGTGAATACAACTATTAAATGTGTCCAAATAACTGTGCAAAACAAAGTTCATCATTAAGAGGTGTGACAGTCTGATAAGGGGGTGTGCATTCATGAAGAATGCATTTGGGAATATGGTTTGCAAACCAAAGCCAAAAAATTAAAACTGGAAGAAAGTAATAGGTTTTAGGCCAGCATGACACTTTCCAGCTCCTCAAGTGTTCATCATCACTCCAATCAGCCAGCAGTAAAATGCCCTGGAGACCCAACTGACTCTCAAATAAAAAAAGAAACTAGGTGGAATTGACTATTTTGCATTTAATATTTGTTGCGTGCAATTTGCAGTTGTATTCATTAAATAATGCTTATTTAAAAGCCAATTCATGCTTATTTGAGCCTGTTTAAAGGATCAGCCACCTTTCTGTTCATTCTTCAGTGCAGAAAAGGCTGCACTCCATTCATGATCAGCATCATTTTTAAAGTCGAAGGTTAATAATTTTCCATCTGAGTAAAGTGGTTTCATTCCTGCAGCACACTGTGGCGTTAAACTAGAGATAAATAACCATTTCCTGTTGTTAAATGGTTAAAAAGTTTGATCTTCCAGCCCTCCATCGCTGCACAGCTTGCATAAAAACAAGGGTAGCAATGATATTTCTAAAAGAATTCCCATTTAAAAAGTGAGAGGAAACACCTTGAAATTGTTGTGTTTCAATCTATTTATAAAGGTGATAAAAGTGATCAGGAGGAAACCTGGTGCTGCTTTTCAGCTGTGACAGAAAAATCTAACTTATTACATTTCCTGGTTTATTCTAGATGAATATAATTAAGATTTCAGTGCAAAAAGTGCCATCAGATGTGCACGTTGTGTAACATGCCCCTGTTCTACTCTGCCCTATATTTGCTCTGAGAGTTACAAAATAAAATTTCATTTAAACAACAGCACGCCACATTACATCAGGTCTATTCAATAGAAATGAAGGTAACATAAAAAACTAGCTACACATTTTGAAACCATCTTTATTTAGAATCAGAAAGCTTTATTGCCAGCCAGCGCTCCAGCGAACCAGAGCATAGGAACTTGACTCCGCAGCACAGCCTGACCAAGGTTACACACACATGTAGACAGAACAGATACAGGCAGACCACGAGAGCAGCCATAACAGCGCTCATTTCAATTAGATGAAAAGGGGATTACATGAGGATAAATTGGGGGAGGGAGAAAAAGGCATACCAGAGTTACTCCCGGCAGGGCGTAGCTTTACTATGCAAAAAAAACGCCTCAAACATATAAGCACGAACATCAACAATTCACAACATGAGACACCGAGAGGAAGGCGGGGGGGGGGGGGGGGGGGGGGGGCTGGGATCCTGTTTCCCCAGCAAGAGCAGCCCTGTATGGCGCTCATCCACTGAGCACGTTGACACCTACAGGTTGAAGACCTCACCAGGCTGAAGTCCACCAATCCGAAGGTGTGTGTGTGTGAGTGTGTGTGTGTGTGTGTGTGGGGGGGGGGGGGTCAGGTTTTCACAGCATCTGTCTGCACTCCTTCCTTCGTGGGGGTTTTGTTGTTGGCATTCACAAGGCTGCCATGGCGTCAGCTTCGGATAACAAGACTTTGTTTGGGTCAGGCAGAGATAATTTTTCTCTCTGCCTTCAAGTCTGTAACTGATCATTCAAGTCCTCCAGTGAAGCCAATTCAGGTTTTAAACATCTCCACACTGTCTGGTGACCCTCTCCGAGATGACATCCATTTTGCGCACTAACACCGGTAACGCAGCTAGAACATTGTCCAGCTTACGATTCACCTCAAGTAACATCCCAGTCTGTGAGGTCTCCACACGAACGGTGCTTTCCGTGGGTGCGGGTCGCCCTCCAATCACTCCCGTCTTCCCAAATTTCCAGAAAACCAGATATCCTCCCACTCCAATCAGAAGAAATCCAGTGATCATCAGGCCAAACATCCACACATCTTCGACGTCCTCAATGGACAACTGGGAGATGCATACGATCTTCTACTCCTTCCAGGAATCGAGCATATACCCCACCGGGTGTGTCCCTTGCGGGCAAGTGGGAGCCCCCTGCTCCATTCTCATCGTTGAAAAAATCTTATCAATCGCGTTGAATGACCAACTAATTAAATCCATTTTAAAAAAATAGGGATTTTCAGGAGAAGTGCAGAGAAGCGCTCTGTGGGTAGACAGGACAAAGAGCCTTGGGAAAAAAAGATAAGGGAGCGAAAAGGGAAGCGTCTGTACTCTGCGAGTGCCAGAAGAGAATGTTTATAATCAAAGATTTCGAGTTTGAAAATGGCTCAGCAAGTGTGGTTACTTTGGAAATGTTGTGAGGGGGATTCCCTTCCTATTAAAATGTCCAAAAAAGGACATATAAAATGTTTGTCAACTTCCCAGAAGGCAATGCGGGCTTTATGCTTATACTTTTATAAGTTGATAGCTTATAGTCCCATCGTCTAGAACATGAAACAAACTTCCCAAAACAGACAGATGTGGGAATTTTCTCCTAAGCAGCTGCATGAAAGTGGTCTTCTTCTGAATAATTTGTCAGCTGTTTAGAGTCTTGTTGGTGGAATCATGAAAGGAGTGAAGGGAGCTTCAGGCATTTTAAATGAATGACAAACACACATAACACGGGCATTAGCCTCCTCATCTGGAGGAACCCGAGTGGTTCTGACTCCTGCTGTTGTCTCCATGTGGGTCGAAGGTTCTCACAGTAGCACTGGATCACTTCATGGTTCCCATAATCTTTATTCCAGAGGAACAGCTGATACATGAGTTACTTTAGGTTTCTTTGTTAACATTTGTACAAGAATTCAACCAAAGGTGCAAAAGCAGGATGGAATGTAAACGTAAATGCTCATTCAGAGTTTGAGAAGAGTCGTTGTTCTGTAGCTCTTTAAATCCTCAAGGCAGACAAAGTGATTAGAAACTATTTAATCT